AAAGGGTTTTTAAAATTTCAAGTACCTTTAGTGTTTTATACTTGAAAGAGTTTAAAAAATGTCAAGGACCTCTAGTGTTTTATTTCAGAAAAAGTTTGAAACAATCTTGGGAGCTCATAGTGCTTTATTTTTTAAAGTGTTTTGAAAAATCTAGTGTTTTATTTTTGAAAGAATTTGAGAGAATCTTGGGAATCCCTAATGTTTTATTTTTGAAAGGGTTTTAAAAATCTCGGGGATCTTCAGTGTTTTATTTTAGAAAGAGTTTGAACGAATCTTGAGACTTCCTAATGTTTTATTTTTGAAAGGTTTTTAAAAATCTCATGAACCTTTAGTGTTTTATATTTGAAACAGTTTCAAAAATTTCAAGAATCCCTAGTGTTTTATTTCAGAAAAAGTTTAAATTAATATTGGGAGCCCCTAGTTTTTGAAAGGGATTTTTAAAAATCTCGGGAATCCTGTTGTTTTACTGTTAAAAACTTTTGGAAGAATCTTGGAAGCTAAGAGTGTTTTATATTTGAAAGGATTTCAAATATCTCCGGGACTTCTGTTGTTTTATTTTAGAAAAAAATTGAAAGAATTTTGAGAGCTTCTAGTGTTTTTTTTTTGAAAGGGTTTTAAAAATCTTGGGGACTTTATTGTTTTATATTTGAAAGAGTTTGAACAAATTTTGGGAGTTTTGGTGTTTTATTTTTGAATGGTTTTAAAAATCTCGCTGACCACTAGTGTTTTATATTTGAAAGAGTTTTCAAATTCTCGGGGACTTCAGTGTTTTATTTTAGAAAGAGCTTGAACGAATCTTGAGACTTCCTAATGTTTTATTTTTGAAAGGGTTTTAAAATCTCATGTACCTTTAGTGTTTTATGTTTGAAACAGTTTCAAAAATTTCAAGAACCCCTAGTGTTTTACTTCAGAAAAAGTTTAAATTAATATTGGGAGCCCCTAGTTTTTGAAAGGGTTTTAAAAATCTCGGGGAATCCTGTTGTTTTACTGTTAAATACTTTTGGAGGAATCTTGGGAACTAGTGGTGTTTTATAATTGAAAGGATTTCAAATATCTCGAGGACTTCTGTTGTTTTATTTTAGAAAAAAAATTGAAAGAATCTCGAGAGTTCATGGTGTTTTATTTTTGAAAGGGTTTTAAAAATCTTGGGGACTTTATTGTTTTATTTTTGAAGGGTTTTAAAAATCTCGCAGACCACTAGTGTTTTATATTTGAACAAGTTTTCAAATTCTCGGGGACATCCAGTGTTTTATTTTAGAAAGAGTTTGAACGAACCTTGAGGCTTCTTAATGTTTTATTTTTGAAAGGGTTTTAAAAATCTCATGTACCTTTAGTGTTTTATATTTGACAGAGTTTCAAAAATTTCAAGAACCCCTAGTGTTTTATTTCAGAAAAAGTTTAAATTAATACTGTTGTCCCCTAGTTTTTCAAAGGGTTTTAAAAATCTCTGGGAATCCTGTTATTTTACTGTTTAATACTTTTGGAAGAATCTTGGAAGCTAGGAGTGTTTTATATTTGAAAGGATTTCAAATATCTCGGGGACTTCTGTTGTTTTATTTTAGAAAAAAATTGAAAGAAAGAAGAAGAAGAATCTTGGGGCTCCTAGTGTTTTATTTTTGGAAGGGTTTTAAAAAACTCACGTACCTTTAGTGTTTTATACTTGAAAAAGTTTAAAAAATGTCAGGGACCTCTAGTGTGATATTTTAAAAAAATTTGAAAGAAGAAGAAGAATCTTGGGGCTCCTGGTGTTTTAATTTTGAAAGGGTTTTAAAAATCTCACGTACTTTTAGTGTTTTATACTTGAAATGGTTTTAAAAATGTCAGCGACCTCTAGAGTTTTATTTCAGAAAAAGTTTGAAAAAATTTTAGGAGCTCCTGGTGCTTTATTTTTGAAAGTGTTTCTAAAATCTGGCGAACTCCAATTGTTTTATATTTGAAAAAGTTTTAAAAAAACTAGTGTTTTATTTTTGAAAGGGTTTTAAAAACCTCAGGGATTCCTACTACTTCATTTTTTAAATCTTTTCAAAGAATCTTGCGAGCTAGTGGTGTTCTATATTTGAAAGGATTTTAAAATTTTCGGGGACTTGTTGTTTTATTTTTGAAAAAATCTTAGGATCTTCGAATGTTTTATATTGAAAGAGTTTTACAAATCTCGGGGACCTCCACTCTTTTATTTTAGAAAGATTTTGAAAGACTTTTGGAAGTTCCTAGTGTTTGATTTTTGAAAGGGTTTTAAAAATTTCACGGATTATTAGTGTTTTATATTTGAAAGAGTTTTAAAAATCTCAAGCACCCCTAGTATTTTTTTTCAGAAAAAGTTTGAAAGAATCCTGGGAGCTCTTAGTGCTTTATTTTCGAAAACGTTTTGAAAATCGGTCGGACCCCAAGTGTTTTATATTTGAAAAAGTTTTAAAAAATCTGGTGTTTCATTTTTGGAGGAGTTTGAAAGAATCTTGGGCCCCGCTAGTGTTTTATTTTTGAAAGGGTTTTAATAATTTGGAGAATCCCTCTTGTTTAATTTTTGAATAAGTCTAACAAAAACCTTGAAGTGTTTTATTATTTTTTTAAACAATGTTGAGGGGGTCTGATATTTTATTATTGAAAGAGATTTATAAAAGTTTTACAAAGAGTTTTATTTTTGAGTTTAAAGTGTGAAATTTTAACAACTCTCGGCGACCCCTAGGGTTTTATATTTAAAAATGTTTTAGAAAATGTGGTGTTTTATTCTTGGAAGAATTTGAATGAATTTTGGGGGGTCTGATGTTTTATTGTCGATACATTTTTAAAATCTCTAGTGTTTTACTTTTGACAGAGCTTTAAAAATCTGGAGCACCCAGTGTTTTATTTTTAAATGGTTTTAATAATTCCGGGGATCCCTGTTGTTTTATTTTTGAAAAAGATTTTAAAAATCTTGGAAAACCCTAGATTTTTTATTTTTGGAAGAGTTATAAAATCTCGAGGACCCCTAGTGTTTTATTTGTCAAAGTGTTTTAAAAAGAAATAAAATTAAAAATCATTTAATAGATTTCGGTTTAGATTTGCTTGATTAATCCCATAATCCATTCGTTCTCAATTAAACCGTGTAATTCTGGAACGACCACAACTCTATAAAAATAATATTCAAAAATTTATTTTAATTCGTATTTATTATAACAAAAAGCGCAAATTCGAAAGAACGTTTTCACTTTTTCTAAGGTTATTGAACGCACCATTCTTACAGAAACTTAGCTCTAGGCCTTCATTTAAACCCAAATTCACGTCTTGCACAATGGAAAAGGCAGAAACGTCATCAATCTTTCCATGATTTATTTTGTCCGCACAGTAAAAGTCGTGTTCGTCCTGCTTTTATTTACTCTTATTTACATTTTATTCCGTCTTTCTCCTCCATATCTGGCAAAAAACCGTCGCTCCACACTCGTAGGCTCATTCACCCTCCTATTCTCTCCTCCACGTGTCGATTTCTAATTGTTCTTATGTGCCATTATTCGCTTTGCTTTCTCTTTTATCAGTATGGGTCAAACAACTTTCTTTTGCACTTGTCCACTCAACAGATTAACCTTGATTTTGTGAAACTGACCTTAAATAACAACACCCTTGTAAAAATATTATTCTTGAACTTTCTAAATGCAACTCTACAATACAATAACGATGATAGGATGCAGCCATGACTTTCAACGCCAGATTGTGAATTGTGCCTTTCCATTTGTGGCTTCTTTGTGTCTTATCAAGCACGAAACACTTTCGAGCTATTCGGATTCGCAGAATCTGGTAGACGTGCGATGGGTGCACGAGATGTGGTATTTTATTTATTGCAGTGTTGATTTGTGTTTTATTTACATTCACTTTGGTTTTTAACCATTAACCTTTAACGAAAACGAGATACAGTAGTGGAGGATTGTTGCTGGGTTAAATTACTTGAAATAAAAGCAGGTTTTTAATGGAGTGGCGATTTTTTTCGTTTTTTAAACACGCCAACGAATTTTGGTTGGTAACCACAGGTGACAGTAATGGCGGTTTTATAACCTCACAAACCCCGATGACATTTACGTTTAGGGGAATGTAGTTTGACCAACAAAAAATGCAAGTGACAAAATACCACTGCAACAATGAATTTAATTATAGTCGACTATGCAACACACTTTACGCAAGAGTGCGAGCATTCATGATTTATGGTGATGTTACGTTGCACATTATTACGTATTATTCAGCAATAATTTTCTCGCATGACAGGTGTCAACCGCGCAGAATTCAACGAACTCGAATATGAACATCATCGCTTTTAAAGATGAGATTTTTTGTTCTCCATTAGAGCCATTAATAAACCGTTCACTATTTTTTGTTGGACTTAGAAGATCGCATAATTGATTGAACTTTTTGCTGTTGTTACCGCAACTTGTTGAGGCTTAGAAAAGAGATTTCTCGCGGTTTTTTCTGTTTGTGGTCTTGTTGGTTTGTCTGATTTGTGTTTGATTCAGTGCTAGTAGGTTTTCTAGATGTTTTGTAGCTGCTAGAATATGAAAAAGTAGGGTCTCCATTTCTGTATGTCCGTAAAAAGTAAAGTTCCATGAACGATTTAAATTAATGACCAGCACTCATACGTAACACCTTATCCCCTAAATCACCTGTTCCCAATCCGCCTAAATTATGCAAACGAGCATCTGCCCACAAAAACTCCATCCAGCTGCAATTTATCTCTCCCATCGCAGCCCAGCGGGAAAAATCTCCAGCCAACAGGAGCTCTCCGTTCGTGACAAGTCCGAAAAGCCGCTTCGCAAAAAAAGACCCAAACGACCTCAAGCCATATAAATTAACAATTATAACTGTATTCCTCAATACAACTCGAGAATCTCGCCTCCTCCGTTCAGTTTTTAATACTGCGACAAGCACCCGACATCTCATGTGCAGAAATGCGGTACGTGGAAATTCGCAGCGGGTTTTCCTTTAATTGATTTCGCGTGTCGAGGTAATCGCTTTTCTCTAATCCCTTTGTGCGCTTGCAGAATTGCGAAATGGGCCGTGCTACTGCTGACGATGACGATGACAGACGACGGACTGACCGACGAAACTGACCCACTTTACTTGACCAAACTCGAAAATGAAGAAAGTGACTATTTGGAGTCTGCCGATAAGGAAACGGAAAGTGTGCTGGAGGAGGGGCGGAAGAGGGAGCTGGACGACGCGGTGGAGCACGGGCTGAGGGCCATGCAGGAGCTGCTGGAGGTGAAGGAGCCGAAGTGGTACCAGATGGGTGAGTACCGAACTGTTACAAATAAACTGGAACACACGGTATAAACGACTAACGTAAAATTTCATCCAGTCGAAGTTTCTCCTTTAGAAAATCATCAACCACAATAGCGCCAGATGCATGAATTAAACGGTTCGAATTAAGTGGTTGTATTAAATATATGAATAATTATAATTAAGCATTCTCTCATAAATAAATTAAATGATTTTTGACTGGTTAAGAAAGTGGATCAGAGATCCAAATCTGTGTTTAATTCAAATTCTCTTTATCATCCACTACGATGGAACGTTTTTGGATTCAACTGTACGTTTTTTTTATTTGTAGTCACAGTTTCTTGACTTTTTTTGTCTTTGAAATTGACATTAAAATCCAGTACTACCCTCCTTCCACTTCTAGACCTTCCAGTACTAAAAACAAAGGTGGATTAGACGACCGACTTACTTAGTACAGTTTTAACAGACGGCCACAGTACGACCTAGACACAGACGACAACTATTACAAACCATACAGTGACGAAATGGTTGGTTTATGACAGTGACTTGAACGGACATTTCTGCGGTCCTGACCTGACGACAACTGACAATACATGGACTGACTTACTGACGAACTTCGACGGAACTTTTGACGAGTAGAAAATCTTGAACTAAAATTGTTTGAGACCGGCTATAGTACTGCCATACTGGGTGATATGTATTATGTATCTTTGTTAGACGTTTTATTTATTGATTGATAATCTATATTATTTATTGTTGTTTCAATATTTAAATTTTGGTATAATAAAGTTAATTTACTCTAAACGCGCGTTATTTAAAAATGGACAAACAAAAAAAACTAGTACGGAAGTAGTACTAATCTTCGGCTTCTTCTTGATTGGAACCGAAATCTACAAAAAAAGCAAAAGTTACACAGTTATGAAACGTAGCCACAATACCTTGACTTGTTTTTCCTCGCCTCAAACTGCTCTCTTTTGCCTTTCGGTAGTACCGTGCCAATTTCGGGCTAGTCGCTTGAGTCTCCTCGGTCATTTTCGCCCCACAGTCTACCAGATACTGAAAAGTCTGAAAATCGTTGTTAGATTCAGCGATAAGCAGAGGTGTTAAGCCCTTTTTGTTAGCCTGATTCACATCTGCACCACACGCCACGAAGTACTTCACCACGTCGAAGTTTTCCATATCGAGGGCTTTCGTTAAAACTGTATCGTTATACTGTGTGGCATCATTCAATCTAGCACCGTTTTCAGTCAACAACTTCACCATTTCCATATTTTTGGCTTCCAAGAATTCAATTATCCTCAAAACTTTTAATTGTTCAAGATCGTTAACCACGTTTGCGCCATTGTCGATCAAGTACTTGGCAATTTTGACGTCTTTGGCGTCGACAGCGACCAGGAGAGGTGAAGTTTGTCGATTTCCAACTCAAGTCCTCTTCTTTCTGTCAATAGTTGAACGACGCGCAAATTCTTGGTTCCAATGACATCCAGCAGTACTGTGTCGACGATGTACTCAGCACCAGAGTCCAGAAGCACGTTATCATGTCGAGGTCTTCGAACTGCCATAAAAGCGGAGTTTTACCATTTTCGCCAACTTTACAAATGTTGGCGTGATTTTTGGTGAGGTACTTAGCGGCTTCTGATTGCTTGTACGGAACTGCGGTAGCTGAGGGGTGTTCCGTCACTACCCAGCTTGTTGATGTTGGCACTACTGTTTAGTAAGAGTTCGAGTAAGTCCAAATTTTCTTTTTCGGCTGACCAAGCCAGTGGGGTTTTTTCGTTTTCTGATCCATCGACGTTAGTACCGTGTTTTAGTAAGCACTGGATGGCATCTAGAGAGTCGTTACCTACACCTTTCTTCAGAAAATGTTCAACAACAGTTTATTTTCATTGATAGTTTGAATCAGAGGTTGTACTCCTCAGTATCACCGGTCAAGGATGTAGGTAGTACCCGTTTCCAAGAGCCACTTGATCATTATTTCTACCAGTCTTACAGACGGTGACACCCAAAGAAGTCAAACATTTGTAGACTGGGTTTAGTCGATAACCAGTGTTGGGCAGTATCTAGATACTTGTATCTAAATAAAGTATCTAGATACATTTTTGGGTATTTAGTATCTGTATCTAAATAAAATCGAATTTAAGCACAAAATATCTGTATCTAGATACAAAATTAATGCCGTAGATACAGATACATTTATTTATTTCACTTTTTTTTTAGTATTTATTAGTTGAGTTATACTAGTAGTAATTTTTGATACTTCATGTTGGTGATTTTGGTCACATAAACAAAAATAGATTTTCGATTTGAAATTGGTAGTTCAGGTTTTTATTTTCTGGATTTTTACAATTTTTCGATTTTCAATGTTCCGATTTTTTAATTTTTTGTTTTTTCAATTCCGAATTTTTCAAGTTTTCTTTTCTTCAATTTTTCGATTTGAAATTTTTCATTTATTTTTGTTTCTTCAAAATTACGACATGCAGCTCTTCGAGTTTTTATTTTAAATTTTTCATTTTTGCGATTTTTCAATTTTTTCATTTTTTGTTTCTCAATTTGAATTTTTTGAATTCTTCGTTTTTTCAATTTTAAGATATGCAACTCAAGTTTTCATTTTAGAACTTCCCGTTTTCCAACTTTGGATGTTCTTATTTGAAGTTTTACGGTTATCAACTATTAATTTTTAAACTATTAGATTTTTGAATATTTGATTTTTTCAATGTTAAATTTTTGATTTGCAATTTTTCTAATTTTTGATTTTAAATATCTAACAATTATTATAGTTTTTAACATTTTTCATTTTTACAATTTTAGGATTTTAGAATTTTTTCAATTTTCAATTATTAGATTTTAAGGCTTTCATTCGATTTTTAATTTCTCAATTTCTCGATGTTTCAATGTTACAGTCTTTCGACTTTACAATTTTTGGAGTTTTACAGTTTTTCGATTTTACAATTTTTCGATTTGATTCGTTTTTTCTATTTTCCAATTTTTTGTATTTTCTCGATTTTTAATTTATCAATGTTTCGATTTTATAATTTTTTGTTTCTTCGATTTTCATTTAAAAATTTTTTCATTTTTTCGATTCTTACATTTTGCAATTTTCCGATTAAAAATTTCTCGAGTTTTCAATTTTTATTTTTCCAATTTGTACTTTCTTCAAATTTTAAATTTTCCAATGTTCGATATTCAATTTTTTTATTTCGTTATTTCAGTTTTTTCAATTCTTCAATTTTTCGATTTGGAATTTTTCACTTTTTTTGTTATTTAAATTTTCCGATATCCAACTACAGTTTTCATTTTAAAATTTTTCAGTTATCCGATTTGGCAACTTCCGGATGTTTCAATTTTTTTTAGATTAGCAATTTTTTTGGATTTTTCAATTTTTCATTTCTTAAATTTTTCGTTTTGGTTTTCATTTTTTTTATTTTTTCAATTTTTCGGAGTTTCAATGTTCTTATTGTATAATTTTTTTTATTCAATGTTAAATTTCTCAGTTTCTCAATTTTTCAATCTTTCGTTTCTTTAATTTTTGAATAGAAATTTTTCTAGTTTCATTTTCATACATACCCAATAATTGTTATTATAATTTTTAAAAAATGTTTCATTTTTTCAATGTTTCTCTCGATTTTATTTAATCAGTTTTTCAGATTTTCAATTTTAGATTTTTTGCTCCTCGGTTTTTAAATTTTTTACTTTTCCAATTTTTCGATTCATTAATTTTTTTAGATTTTTAGGTTTCTGGATTTTTAGTTTTTCAATTTCCCAAGTTTTGAAATTTTCAATTTTTCGTTTCGGTTTTTTATTTTGGTTATTTTTTCAACTATTCAATTTTTCAATATTGCGATTTTATAATTTTTTGTTTTTTAAATTTAAATTTTTTCAGTTTTACGTTTTTTCAATTTTTCGATTTGCGATTTTTCAATTTTTCATATTTTGTTTCTTCAGTTTCTAGAATTTGCAATTTTTCGATTTAAAATTTTTCAATGTTACGATTTTCCAAATTTTGGAATATCCAAATTTCCAAATTTTCGACTTTTAAGTTTTTCATGTCTCCAATTTTTCGGTTTTTCCATGTTCCTACTTTATATATATATTTTTTTCAATGATTTTTTTAATTGTCCGTTTTTTCAGTTTCTCGATTTAGAAATTTTTCGTTTCTTCAATTTTCGATCTGCAATTTTTCTAGTTTCCATTTTAAATATGCATAATAATTATAATTTTTAAAATGTTTCACTTTTCCGATTTTGTAATTTTTTCAATTCTTCGTTTCTTCAATTTTTAGATTCGCAATTTTTCAGTTATCCGATTTTCGAACTTTCGATGTTTCAATTTTTTTGATTTTGCAATTTTTTGAGTTCTTTATTTTTTCAATTTTTCCGATTTTCAATGTTCTGAGTTGCAGATTTTGGGTTGTCAACTTTTAATAATTTTTACCATTATTTTTTCAATTTTTCGCTTTTCAATGTTAAATTTTTGAGTTTCTCAATTTTCCAATTTTATGGTTCTTTAATTTATGATTTGAAATTTTTCTAGTTTTCATTTGAAATATCTATCTAGTAATTATTGGTTTTTAACATTTTTCACTTTTTCAATTTTACGATTTTATAATTTTTCCATTTTTCGATTATTAATTTTAAGACTTTTTATCCAATTTTTTTATCTTTCAATTATAGTCTTTCGACTTTACAATTTTGACGATTCTATAATTGTTTGATTTTACAATTTTTGGCTTTTTTTATAGTTTTTCGATTCGATTTTCATTCTTAAAATTTTTCATTTCTTCAATTCTTACATTTTTGCAATTTTTTCATTAAAAATTTCACGAGTCAATTTTTAACTTTCCAATTTGTAATTCTGCAATTTTCGATTTGGAATTTTTCAATTTTTCGTTGTTACTTAAATTTTACGATAACAAACTCCAGTTTTAATTTTAAAATTTTTCATTCAATTTTTTGAGAATGTCTAAAACGAACTTTGAAAAATCTACAAATTTAAAATCAAGAATTTGAACAATTGTAGAAAGGAAAAATTAAAACATTAGAATCGATAAAGTGCAAAATAGAAAAAACCGAATTTGTATTGAAATATCGAAATGTTGAAAATTAAGGAAATCGGAAAATTTTCTAACTGGAAATCCAAAAATTGTAAAAGTAAATGTTTCAAAATTGAAAAACCGAGGAGCAAAGTAGCATGTTTTCCTGTTGCCACATGTGTCATTTCTTCACTTTTTCATTGTTGGACCTAACGTGAGGCGGGCTTGGCAGGTCCGTTTTGCCCTAGAATGTGCCGATTATGTTTAAGTGTAAATCTTGGACAATAAAATTAATATGTTTACAACCCTCGGTATAATAATTTATCATGATATATTCTCAGAAATTGTGAAAAATACATAAACATGTTTTCAGTTATTTTATTCGCCAAAGCTTCAAAAAGTATCTGTTTTCTTGTATCTGTATCTAGATACATTTCGAAAAAATCGAAAACAATCTGCATCCAGATACTTTTATCTTACATATATCTATATCTGTATCTAGATACTTTTAAAAGTATCTGTCCCCCACACTATCGATAACGAAGGAGGGTACTATCATCAAAGCGTACCATATTCCCATCAACTCCATTTTCAATCAGTACTTTAATAACAACCAACTGTCTTTTCAGTACTATTTTTGACCAAGCATCTGAAGGTTGAATTTCCAGAAGAATTTTGTTCGATAGCCTACAATAACGGTACTAATAACGTCGATTTTTTGGCACCACTAACCTCAACAAATATTTCACGATAAATTAAACTGTTTGATCTTAGATTTTTAAACTTTTTACGTATTCAAATTAAAAAAATTGTAACAGTAGCTTTGAATACGACTATAAAAATATAATACATTTCAGCAACATTGCGACGCTTAAATCCAGCTTCCAGAAACTCCTTAAAACTTGCCCGAACTTTGCAAATCATGGCAACATTTCCACTTTTAATCGCGCGTTTCGATTCAAACTTCCGCCTGAGTTTCATTATTGGTCGTATTGAAATTTCAACACGCTTTTCCCAGAATATCGGCATTAACTTGTAATTTTAATAGCGAACTTTTTACCGACAAGGAACTCGAAGCTTTTTACTTACTCGAATCCAAACACCGTAATAGATGAAACCGCCTTGTTTACAGCGTTAAAATTACCGTTACACGAACAAGTGATGCGTAAAAGTTCCCATTACCACACGTCCACTATTATTTTCACTCTTCACTTGTTTTCCAACGTGTGTTTATTTTACATAACCCGAGTCGAGTGCACTTTTCACGTCCACGGATTGTTTATTGTAGAAAATTTCTCTTCAACAATACAAACACAAATCTATAAATACTGTCATTATAAAAGTGAACTTTCGAAGGCAATTTCTTCCTTAACGACGCGTAATCCTTGATTTAGTCGTCCGAAGAACTAGAATGAGGATCGCAACATCAATCAACTTTCCAGAAGTTTGCGTCCACGACGTTCTAAAATTATAAATCAAGAACGGAAAGGTCAGAGCCGTTGCACAGGTGCTCCACTAATTAAAAATTACATAAATTTGTAAAGTCCAACAATGGAGAAACGAAGAGGTACCCCCAGGTTCCATTATCACCACTTTTACTCACCTGATTTGAACGAATTGAGAACAATCAGAGATTTTATTGCCGGAATCGGGACACTTTCATCTCGTAAAATTGACCCTCTTCTAGTCCTAATACATTCATACATTTAAAGACGAAAAGTGGGTCACTTTCACTGTGATTTATTAAAATATGTATAGAAACTTTTGACAACAATAACAGGTCTTGTTGTCTTTCAGGGTTGTACTTGGACGCCGACGAGCCCGCCCGGCACGTAGCCAACTTCGGCGCCCCGATCAAGAAAGCCCTCGAACTCTCAAAGTTCGGCTACGCCTCCGTCCAAGCGGCGAAAAAAATCGCAGAAAGGTAATTCGCTCGAGCGAGCACCACGACGCTCCGATTTTCCCACAAAGAAGAAAGCGGCTTTTTCGTCGTGACCGTATCGATCCATTATTTATGGATTAAACGCTTTACGTAAAGGCGCCGCTATTCCATTCGTCGAAACTCGTCAACCGATCCTTGTAAAGAAACCGAGAAAGCGTCTTCCGACCCTCTTCCTGTACCTCTTCCTCTGGGTGGGGACGGAGAGGAGGGACGCTTTTTTATAGTTGGGAGTCGGGCGGATCGTGATCAGTGTTCGAAGAGACGCGAAGAAGGTCAGTGGAACAGAAACTGAAAGTCGCTGTTTCAGTTACCCTGAAAATGTGAGCCGCCAGTCCAACGGGTTCTTCGACACCCGCCTCCTGCAGGATGAGTGCCCGCTGCGCGGACTGCCGCGGTGCCCGGCCGCGTCGCGACGCTACCGGACGGCCGACGGGACGTGCAACAACTTCAACAAGCCCTGGAGGGGGTCGGCGTTGCTACCCATGCAGAGGTTCCTGCCCCCGGCCTACGACGACGGTGAGTTCGCTCTTCGCTTTAGATTTATTTAACTCGCGAAATTTCGGCAGGGATTCAAGAGGTGCGTCGCTCGGTTTTCAACACTGTTCTGCCGTCGGCTCGCGCCGTCAGCACCCGCGTCCACCGCGACAAGAACCACGAAATTCCCACGGTCAATCTCATGTTCATGCAATGGGGCCAACTCGTGGACCACGACCTCATTTCGACCGTAAAATCCCGAAGCTTCAATGGTTCGGTACCCAGATGTTGCCACCGCGGCGGGCAAGCTTTCCTACCACCAGACCTCTTGGTTAGTAAACTCTTAACCGTCACTACACACCTACTAACGTACAATTTGCAGCACCCTAGTTGTTTGCCCATTGAGGTACCCCGGGATGATTGGTTCCTAGGACCTATGGGCATCCGCTGCATCGAGTTCATCCGAAGCGCCCCATCCACAAGAATCGACTGCGATTTAGGGTACCGGGAACAAATCAACCAAGCGACGAGTTTCCTAGATGCTTCTACTATCTATGGGAGCGACGTGGAGACGTCGGACTCGATGAGGTCGTTCCGGAACGGGAAGATCCACTACGGGAGGGTACAAGGAAGAGAGCCTTTGCAACCACCCGACCCTCCAGGAGGGGAGTTGTGCAGATCTGGGGCTCTCACGAGCGATTGTCTGCAAGGGGGCGACGGGAGGTTGAGTGAGCAGCCGGGTTTAACAGCACTGCATACCATTTGGGTGAGGTACCACAACAAAGTGGCGACGGTTTTGAGCGAAGTTAACCGACACTGGAGTGACGAAAAAGTCTACCAAGAAACCAGACGGATTGTCATCGCACTATTCCAACACATCACCTATCGAGAATTCCTTCCAATTGTTCTTGGGCAAGAAGTGATGGAGTTGTTCGGGTTGACGTTGGAACGAAAAGGGTACTACTCAGGTTTTGATAAACGAGTAAACCCGGCCATTGCTAACTCGTTCGGTACTGCAGCCTTTCGCTTTGGACACAGTCTAGTCCAGAACTCGTACGTCAGGTTTGACACCCACCACCGACCCTTATTCAACAGTAAGTCTGAATCTAGTCACAACATTATCTAACCCGTGTCTTCCAGATGTTACCCTCCACGAAGAACAAGAAAACATCGAAAACATTTGGAGCTTCGGTTCTCTGGATCGGATTTTACTAGGTTTCTGCAACCAGCCGTCCCAACGTCGCGACGAATTCGTCTGTGACGAACTCTCGAACCACTTGTTCCAGTCGAGGGGGTTCCCGTTCGGTATGGACCTCACCGCGATTAATATCCAGAGAGGGCGTGACCACGGCTTACCCTCCTACACTTCCTGGCGCAAACCCTGCGGCCTTTCCTCCATCCAGTCCTGGCAAGACCTTGAACGAATCATGAACCCTGAGACCGTCCACCGCTTCCAGACTCTTTTCCAACACGTAGACGATATAGACTTGTTTTCGGGAGGGTTGGGCGAGAAGCCGGTGCGTGGTGGTCTCGTAGGTCCGACATTCGCTTGTATCATCGCCCAGCAGTTCCTCAATTTGCGCAAAGGTGACCGGTTTTGGTACGAAAACGGGGGTTTCGAGTCGAGTTTCACGCCAGCGCAGCTGCAGCAAGTCCGACACGTGACTTTCGCCCACGTGCTGTGCCAGACGTTGACGGAGATCGAGACTATCCAGCCCTTCGTGTTTTTGATGGCTGATGGGTTTAGGAACTCGAGGGTTTCGTGTGGGAGTAGTATTGTTAATAATTTTGATTTGTCGCCGTGGATTGAGGAAGGGGGGAATGAGATTCGGGACGAGATTGAGCGCAGCGGGAGGGAGAGGAAGAAGAAGCGGAAGGTGAAGCGTACGACTACTACGACCACGAGGAAGCCGAAGTTGAAGGTGAAGCCGGTGAATGTTCAGGTTAATGAGGTGGCGACGCACACGGTTAAAGTGCAAACTAAGCAGACTTATAATACGAATAGTTACGTACCTGTTGACATACCACAAAGACCGACTTTTGACAATTACGACAAACGGACGACGATACGAAATGACGTGACTTACTTGTTTGGGTTGGTTTCTGAAACCACCACTCCTATTCCTCCGCGGACTCCTAAACCCTTTGAAGTTAATATTAAGATCCAGTACTACCCTCCTTCCACTTCTAGACCCTCCAGTACTAAAAAAAGACGGACCAGACGACCGACTGAGACGTACGACGCGACTAGACCTTACGACATAACTACGCGACCGAACGTTTACAGCGACGACTTTTCTGTTTACAAACCGACTTACTTGGTACGACCTCCTGTTGACAATTTTTACGGTAGTAGATACGAAGACAGACCAGTTGCGACTTCGAAGAGACCTTACGTGTACAGACCAGACTCTAACAATTACGTTTACTCGACTAAGACGACTCCGGACTATCACGGTTTTAACAGACGACCTCAGTACGACCTAGACAGAGACGACAGCTACGACAAACTATACAGTGACGTTTACTCTTCCAATAACGCGAACTTTGACCACGACCAAGACATGCCACGACCCATTAAAGTCTACGCTAGTGGACACGTCGAGAAACTTTCGACTGACGAAGTATATGACAAATTTGACTTTGTGACTAAAAACAGACAGACTCCGACTAAATTCGTCAAGATTTCGAGTGTTAAAGGGCACGAGTACTTAGATCCGAGCGGGGCTACTGTGCAGCTGCATGTGGCTCAAAGAGAAGGAGATCTAGAGCTTGACGAAGACAGTACTGAATATGTTAGGTTTGTTGACATCGACGTAGTTCCGGGGGAGACGAAATGGTTGGTTTACAACGCGACTGACGAACTGATGGATCTGGTGGAGATTCCTGACGTCAATGTTAACATTTCGTCTACGAACGAGCTGCCTAGACCTTTGAATGGAAGTTTTCTTGCGAACTTTACGATAGTACCTGAACGTAACGTGACAGTGACTTGAACGGACATTTACGAGCGGATTAGTACTCCGCGGTACGACGACTGACAATACATTGACTGACTTACTGACGAACTTCGACGGAACTTTTGACGAGTAGAAAATCTTGAACTAAAATTGTTTGAGACCGGCTATAGTACTGCCATACTGGGTGATATGTATTATGTATCTTTCTTAGACGTTTTATTTATTGATTGATAATCTATATTATTTATTGTTGTTTCAATATTTAAATTTTGGTATAATAAAGTTAATTTACTCTAAACGCGCGTTATTTAAAAATGGACAAACAAAAAAAACTAGTACGGAAGTAGTACTAATCTTCGGCTTCTTCTTGATTGGAACCGAAATCTACAAAAAAAGCAAAAGTGACACAGTTATGAAACGTAGTCACAATACCTTGACTTGTTTTTCCTCGCCTTAAACTGCTCTCTTTTGCTTTTCGGTAGTACCTTGCCAATTTCGGGCTAGTCGCTTGACTCTCCTCGGTCATTTTCGCCCCACAGTCTACCAGATACTGAAAAGTCTGAAAATCGTTGTTAGATTCAGCGATAAGCAGAGGTGTTAAGCCCTTTTTGTTAGCCTGATTCACATCTGCACCACATGACACGAAGTACTTCACCATGTCGAAGTTTTCCATTTCGAGGGCTTTCGTTAAAACTGTATCGTTACATTGTGTGGCATCATTCAATCTAGCACCGTTTTCAGTCAACAACTTCACCATTTCCATATTTTTGGCTTCCAAGAATTCAATTATCCTCAAAACTTCTAATTGTTCAAGATCGTTAACCACGTTTGCGCCATTGTCGATCAAGTACTTGGCAATTTTGACGTCTTTGGCGTCGACAGCGACCAGAAGAGGTGAAGGCTTGTCGTTTTCCAACTCAAGTCCTCCTCTTTCTTTCAATAGTTGAACGACGTTCAAATTCTTGGTTCCAATGGCATCCAGCAGTACTGTGTCGACGATGTACTCTGCACCAGAGTCCAGAAGCCACGTTATCATGTCGAGGTCTTCGTTAAGAACTGCCCATAAAAGCGGAGTTTTACCACTTTCGCCAACTTTACAAATGTTGGCGTGATTTTTGGTGAGGTACTTAGCGGCTTCTGATTGCTTGTACCGAACTGCGGTAGCTAGAGGGGTGTTTCCGTCACTACCCAGCTTGTTGATGTTGGCACCACTGTTTAGTAAGAGTTCCAGCAAGTCCAAATTTCCTTTTTCGGCTGCCCAAGCCAGTGGTGTTTTGTCGTTTTCTGATCCATCGACGTTAGTACCGTGTTTTAGTAAGCATTGGATAGCATCTAAAGAGTCGTTTCTGATGGCAGCTACCAAGGGCGTGTTTCCTGCATCATCCACAACATCCGTACCTACACCTTTCTTTAGAAAAAGTTCTACAATATCCAGTTTATTTTCATTGATAGCTCGAATCAGAGGCGGTACTCCTTTGATGTCACAGTCGTTGCAATCAGCACCATTATCAATAAGGAACTCGACCATACTCAGACTCCCTTCTCGCACGGCGATTGTTAGTGGAGTCTCACATGAGTCGCGTAATTTTATGTTGGCACCATTTCTGAGTAAACACTGAGCAATGTCTAGACGGTTTAAGTAAACGGCTAGTAAAAACGGGGTGGCGCCTCCAGTTTCACGTTGGTTGACATTGCCACCATACTTTATTAAACATGTAACAGTTTTTTCATTCGATTTTCTCACAGACCAGGTGAAATAGGTACTACCGTTAGCACACGGGTTGTTTACGTTGTATCCATAGCGACCCCCTTCAAAATACTGCAGGTCGTTTCGTTCCAGACTCTTTAATATCTCCTAAAACAAATACAGAAACCGTGTACTTTGTCCACATGAATAATTTGGTACTCAGTGAGGTCGTACCATGCATGATATGTTGACTTATTAAGCATTTAATTCTTCACGATGCAAGTACCACCTCAAAGATTTGAAAAAAAATCACAAGTGGATTTTTGGTACTCACATCAGCATTACTTCCCATTTCGGCTCTGCTAATTCACCAGGAATCTCTCAGAAGTCTCAGGATCTCCCTAACCTAACACTAGACACAACACTGGGTATCACAGACAGCTGTAAAGAACCTAAGTTTGAAAACTAATCATGTTCTAAAAATATAACGTTGGTGACAACGAACTTGATGAGTCAAAGTTGCGTGAAACGAATGAGCGAAAATATTTTTTCAGAACGTAAATTAGTCGAACTTTAAGAAAAAATGTCGATAAGAAGTTTTTGTGCCTCATTTGCTTGAGGAAGAAAACAAACTTCCGAAAATAGGTTCTACCTTGAAGCTGCTTGTGAAATGTGGGTTGCCTATGCGTGGCCAAGGTTATATCACCATCACCAAATGGAATCATCATCACAGACAAGGAACTTTGATTAAAAAAATACAATTTTTGCTAGTTGGTTGCTTTATATTAAAAAGAACATAAAAAACATCGCACTACTTTGTAAATACGTTCAAATTTAGTCCAGTGCCTCTTCCTGGTTAGATTTACCCTCTAAAACAAAATAACGATACAATTTACACTTAACTAAATATAGTTTCCATACCATAACAAACTTTTCTTCTTTTCGCTATGCTTTCTTGTGCCATTCGGTAATACCTAGCCAATGTCGGATTTGCATTTTCGTCCTCTTTGCTAATCTCAGCTCCACATCCCACCAAATACTGAAAAATTTGGAAATTATTGCTGGATTTCGCAAGAACTAGCGGGGTTAAACCCTTCTCGTTCGCCTTATTAACATCAGCCCCCTGATCTACGAAGTACTTGACCATATCAAAATTTTCCATTTCTACAGCTGTCGTAAAAACCGTGTCACCAAAATAAGTGTATTCGTTCAATCTGGCGCCATTTTCCGTTAACAGTTTCACCATGTCAATATTACCGCTTTGCAAAAACTCGATTACTTTCAGATTGTCTACTTGTGGAAGATCGTATATTACATTTTGGCCATTTTCAATAAGGTACTTTGCAATTTCTACGCATTCGCTGTCTATTGCCACCGCCAAAGGTGGAAACTCGTCGCCGTTGTCATAATTTTCCAAGTCGAACCCTCCTCTTTCTTTCAACAGTTTCACGATTTCCAAATTTTTCGTCTCAATGCCAATTGAAAACACCTTATGGACGATATATTCGGCCCCGTGATCCAATAACCACGTTATCATTTCAAAATCCTGGTTCAAAACTGCCCAAAAAAGCGGGGACTTTCCCTTTTCGCCCTCTTTACAAACGTTGGCTTTGTTGTTGGTGAGGAATTTTGCAGCCTCAGACTGTTTATACTGGACGGCGGTTGCTAAAGGCGTATTGCCGTCCCTGTCCACTAAGTTAATGTCAGCTTTGTTGCTTAACAAGAGTTGGAGTACCTCGACATTTCCGGTCAGGGCAGCCCATGCTAAAGGCGTCTTCTCATTTTTTGTAAAGTTCACGATTACGTTATGCCCCAGCAAGCACCGTATAACATCTAGTGAAGAATTGTTTCGAATAGCGGCCACCAGAGGCGTATTTCTTTCTGAGTCGACGACGACGTCACCTATTTGTTTTTTGAAAAAAAGATCCACGATGGCCAATTTATTTTCTTTGATGGCTTTAATTAGAGGCGGTGTTCCTCTGATATCGCAGTCGTTGGGGTCAGCACCGTTGTCTATTAGAAATTCTACCATCTCTAGATTTCCTACTTGGACAGCGGCTGTTAAAGGCGTTTCGTACGAATCTCGCAACTTGACGTCTGCACCTCTTCTAACTAAACACTGGACTATTTCTAAACGGTTTAGATATATAGCTAGCAAGAGAGGTGTGGCACCTCCTAGTTCTCTCTTATCAATATCAGCACCTTTTGCTAGTAAATGAGTTATTGTTTGTAAATTTGATTTCCTTACAGCCCACGTGAAGTAAGTGCTACCATTGTTACACTGACTGTTTACGTTGAAAGTACCACTGCCATAGTACTTAGTATTTACGCTGCAGTTAGAAAAATACGTTGGATCATTTTTTTCTAGACTTTTTAATATTTCCTGAAATAACACACAATTTTGTGAAGACCAAATTAAATGTTACCACGAAATAACAAAAGTGGTACTTTATGGTTAAACGTTAAACTGAAGTTCGAAAAATTGAGTGGTAAACAAAGTAATTTTTCAGTAATGCAGTGTTAATTTTAATTTCTCACCTCGCTAGATACTGACATTTTTCCGCAGACGAAGTTCCACTAGAACAGTTTATATTTTTAATTGTTGTTTTGTAGGTTTTCAATGGTTTTCATCACATAACCTCTCGTAGCTATCACAATCATTTTTGTTTATGCTGATAACCAAAGTTCTGGCAACCAATTAAACACATGTGGTACTAACAACAACCTTTAAGCTCGAGTACTAAAACGGTATTACAACTTCAACTGCTAGTAACATTACTGACAGTTCAACAGTTGGTACAATAAAAGTACAACATAAATTTAAACACCAAATCAAAAAATCTACTTCTATATTAAACCAAAAACGAAATTACACTGAAATTAAACTTGCGTTCACTCGTCGGCATCTTCTTGATTCGAACCAATTTCTGAAAACACAAAAATATTATCACCCTTTTTTAAAGTAACCTTTTCTCGATACCTTGGTTTGTCTTCCCCGCTTTCAAACTATTCTCTTTCGCCATTCGGTAGTACCGGGCCAGTTTCGGACTTTCCTCTTGGTCCTCCTCAGTTATCTTAGCCCCATTATCCACCAAAAACTGGAAAGTTTGAAAATCATTGTTAGCTTCGGCGATAACTAGTGGTGTTAAACCCTCCGCATTAGCTTGATTGACACTGGCTCCTCGTTCTACAAAGTACTTCGCCATGTCAAAATTTTCCCTTTTTACAGTTGTCAGAACTGTCTCGCCATCGGAATCACACTCGTCCAATCTAGCTCCATTCTCTGTCAGTAATTTAATCATCTCTGTATAATTCCGCTTCAAGAGATCAATAATAGTCGAAATTTCCGACTCGAGCTCGTCTACCACTTTCGCGCCGCTTTCAATTAGGTACTTCGCGATGCTGACGCTGTTTAAGTTTATGGCTACCGCTAAAGGTGACTTTGTTTTATCAGTTCCAAGTTCAAAAGTTCCACGTTTCCTCAATACTTGAACTACTTGTAAATTTTCGGTCTATATGGCTTCGGAAAACACCGAGTCGATGATGTACTCCGCTCCGTGGTCTAAAAGCCAGTTAATCATAGCGATATCTTCATTAAGAACTGCCCACAAAAGTGGCGTTTTTCCGTCTGCTCCAAATTTACAAACGTTGGCATTGTTGTTTGTGAGAAATTTAGCAGCTTCTAATTGTTTGGACCGAATGGCAGTACCTAATGCGGTGTTTCCGTCAGTACTCAATATATTGATGTCAGCTCCAGCCTTTAATAGAACTTTGAGCGAGTCCACACTTCCTTTTTCTGCGGCCCAAGCCAAAGGTGTTTTGTCGTTTTTGGACTCATTCACATCAGTACCGTATTTCAGCAAACATTGTATGGCATCTGCAGACTCGTTTCTAATGGCAACTACAAGTGGAGTATTTCCCTCGTCGTCTACTATGTTCATATCCACTTTTTTCTTTAGAAACAGTTCAACAATGTCCATTTTATTTTCGTTGATGGCTCGGATTAATGGTGGTACTCCTTTGACATCGCAATCCTTGGCGTCGGCACCCTTGTTTAGAAGGAGTTCTATCATTTCTAAATTCCGTTCTCGCACTGCAGCTGTCAGAGGCGTGTCGTATGAATCTCGCAAGTTTATATCCGCACCTTTTTTTAGCAACCATTCGACCACGTCTACACGGTTTAGATTTATGGCAAGTAATAGGGGCGTGGCACCTCCAGTCTCCCTTTGATTAATTCTAGCACTTTTTTTCAATAAGAATGCTAGGATGTCTATGTTTGATTTTCTTACAGCCCACGTGAAAATGGAACTACCATTAAATTGCAGAGTATTTACATCGTGATTAGAGCGCTGAGGTCCGTCAAAATATTTCAGTTCGTTTCTTTCTAGACTTTTGAATATCTCCTAAAATGATAAAAACTAAATAGTCTGTGTTTTGTTGTAATACTCATTTTTACTGTTGTACCAATTGATTTTAAAAAACATATATAAAAACAATTGTGTAGTGCAATAAATATCTGATGCTTATTTTTACAAAGCTGAACATTTAACAATGAACTCACCTGAGGAGTAGCCATTGTAATTGCAAACTGAACAAGTTACATTTAGTTATGTGTTTTAGAACTTTGTCTTTATAAAGGTTTCACTAGGTTATTCCCAGCTTTGCACAATCCATGATTATATTTTCGATAAGCGATAAGAATTACCTAATATGTACATTGTTAAGGATATGCAACCAGTTAAACACTAGTACTACAACAGTAGAATGCACCATTTTAAACGTGTTTTGAGTTTCTAAGAATAAAAAAAATCATCACAGTTGAGATGGGGTGGGTGGGCGGGGTTAATATTTGGCATTTTTTTCTTAATATAAATAATATTCTTTAAACACGATAAAAAAACCTGTCTTTAATTTCCTGTAAGAAAATAAGTATTTTGCAGTTGAGCTCCGCCCCCTTGGTTCACTGCGAATAAAAAAAATCATCACAATTGAGACAGGGTGGGTGGGCGGGCTTACATTTTACCTTATTATTTTAGTATGTGTAGATTTCCTTTCAACACATGAAACTTGAAACATGTTTAAAATGGGAAATTTGTATAAGGAAATATCGATTTTGCAAAAAAACAACTACCCTATTCAAATTCGACAGGCCCGTACTTCCTAGCAAAATGGCCGACGTGTTTCAAGGTCAAACATTTTGTGCACACCAAGAACAAAGGAATTTAAACCTCATATTGCTACTATTTACGTTAGTTATTTGTCTCTACTGCATCAATACTGATCTCCTGTTAGTAAATCAGGTCTTTGGAAATTGAAATAGCTTTAAATTAAATAACGTAACTTGGGGTCGCTTCCATACTCGATTTCTTCTTCTATTGCTTTCGATTCATAATTGTAAAATTAATGCGAGAAATAGCTAATGCTCATTTTTTACACAATGCACTCACCTGAATAGTAGCCATTTCAGCTGCTACCTCAAGAACGAAACGTCTTTTGGCAATATGTTTGAGGTGTTTGGACGCTTTACAAATAAATGTTTAAAGTGTTTCACCAGGTTATTCCCACCTTTGCCTAACGAAAACGATAGAATGAAACTGCCCAGAGTTGCGCATTACTTCCAGTGTTGCCAACCTTGCCTCCGCAATTATCCAAGTTGGCCCTGAAATCGTCTAAGTAGCGTCTTTGTTCTTTTCATAATTCATACGGCTGTTTCTTTTTTTAAGAAAATAATTATTACAAGACTTGTATTAAATGTTTAAATGAAATTTGAAGATTTAAATAGGAATCATAGGAATCTGTGATAGGAATGACATCCACTGCTGCCAACATACAATGAGCTTATGACGATAACAATGTCGATTACACATATTCCATTACCATTCGTCAAGATTTATTTAATAGGTTAGAGAAATAAATCTTTTAATCAAGTGAAAAAAATTGTATTAGTTGTTCGAAGTCAAATTTAGATTGGCAACAATGAATCTTTTAAATTTAGCACCATAGTCGATTGGTGAATTTTGTGGCACCAAATTTAAAACATGATTTTAATTAATCTTAATTATATATTTTTATTAATTTTTTGTGACTACGTTAAACGTTTTTTCAAAGTCTATAGGGGCAATTCTGAATCAAAGTTGTTAAATTTAAAGGGTGTTAAATTGCAAATTTCCATAGTAACGAGTTAAATACGTAAATCTGATTGGCTGTTTATTTTTTAACAACCTTTAAATTTTAACGGGTTTGATTCAGAATTGGGCCTTATGTACTTTAAAAACTAATTAAAACCAATTTTATATGCAATCATTGCAATTTAGACAATAATTTAGATTAATTTGGTACTGTCAGACAATAAATAGCAAATCACGAAATTAATCGGAAATTTATTTATTAAAACGTTTAACGAAAGTTAATCGTATCGACGACGATGCCACAGTTTCCCCAATACGCGTAGCTAATTCTTGGGGTTTGTTCCGAGCGGAAATAAATGAAGTTTCGACCGACGCCAACACGTGTGTAAATTTGTTTTATTGTTTGTAAATTCACAGTTCATGTTAGGAGTTTAATCGTTAACTAGTTCTAACGCAATTTAACAATCAGGAATTTATTTAGGTAGAACACTTACTAGGAGATGTCATGAAATTCACTGACGTCATCCCCCTCTGGGAAAAGACCGTGAAAGCACGGTAGAATTCATAATATCGTGGACCAAGGTACGTGGGGATTAAAGATGTAAATGTAAATTCTTTCTTTGAATCGTGAATCGAGTGTATGGCGAATTAAAATGTTGTTTATTGCTCTTTTTGAAACTTTAACACTTGTTCAGTTGTCGTTTAATATCAGAGTTTTAGAAAGTGAACATTTAAATGGAATTCGAGCTGACAATCGCGCCATTTGCACAACCAAAAGTTTGTCACCGTAACGTTCTGCTCGTATGGCATGTTCGTAATGGAGGGGTTCCTAGAATCACCGTCGTGGAGGGAGAACAGCCACGACCAGGAGCCCCAAACTCCGCTCGTGCTACAACGCCCCCTGTGGGTAGTTTTGCTGCGTTCTAGAATGAAATTGATATAATTCGATCGCTACACTCTTATAACGCTCTGGTGCCGCTGCCGCTGCATAGTTTTTTATTAAAATTTTGTTGTCTTGGTGACTGCCATAATTAAAATTGTCCCCACACACACGCCTACATCAGTATTAAAATGCGTCCAGTGTACAAAAGTAAAGTGGGATTTATTAACTTACTGTTGCCGTTGCTGTTCCCGCTGACGTTGCTTTTAGAGGTGAAAATTGTCATTTATAAATTCAAGTTGGCGTTGATAATAACTTTGAGGTTCAACTTTTGCCGTATTTAAAAAGGTTGTAGACGAACAGTGGAGGATTTAAGTTGATTACTACAAAAATTTACCATTTTAGACATGTTTTAAGTTTGTTGTCGAAATAAGTCTACACATGTTCAGAAAAAAAAGGCAAAATGTAAGCCCGCCCACCCGCCCTATCTCAATTGTGATGATTTTTTTTATTCGTCGTGAGCCAAAGGGGCGGTGCTTAACTGCAAAATACTTATATCGTGTTACTCAAAAAATACTATTTATATAAAAAAAATTGAAGCCAAAAATTTGGATCTAAATAGTAATGAAGTTTTCATTACTACTTTGCATTTTTTTCTTAATTTACACAGTATAAAAAGGACAACACGATACTCAAAAAACATGTTTTTAATTTCTTGTAAAGAAATAAGTATCTTGCAGATAAGCTCCGCCCCCTTGGTTCACGGCGAATAAGGAAATCATTACAATCGAGATAGGGCGGGTGGGCGGGCTTACATTTTGCCTTTTTGTTTTAATATGTGTTGACTTCTTTTCACAACGTGAAATTTAAAACATGTTTAAATTGAAAATTTGTACAAGGAAATACAGATTTCAAGTTTTTTGTTGTGAAAAGATGACTATAAGTATATAATTAAGAAAAAAAAAAAAGGCAAAATATAAGAAATTAAGAACATTGAATATTTAGTCATTTTCTGGATTCGACAATCTAATAAATTCTGAGCATTGTTATGACTATACAACCAGTTAAACTGCTGATGCAATAATGTTAAAATGCACCCAACACAAAACATATCATTTTGATAGAAATTTCACAAAATAAATTCGCATATACCATGTTAAAAACCTTTCCGTTTTTCTCCTTAGCTTTTTGTTTTTATCTTCTAAAAAAAATTTCTTTCCCCCCTTCTGATGACTTGATCAAAACTGTGTGAGCGATTTTCACCGTCAAGAAATCTACTATTTCAACGAAGTTCGTCAACTACTTATGCATCATTTACAATAAAACACGTTCCTAGTGTTACACATGGTACTACACTAAACGTACCCACATCAATGACGTAATAAGATCTAAGGATTCAACACCTGATACAAACATTTATATTATTGTAAAAACTTCATAGTAAAAACTGCTTTAAAAAAATGATACAATTGAACTTATAAACAGCTGCTCATTCTTTCGCATCTTCTTGATTCGAACCAATTTCTGAAAACACAAAAATATTATCACTTTTTTAAAGTAACATTTTTCTCGATACCTTGGTTTGACTTCCCCGCTTTCAAACTGTTCTCTTTCGCCATTCGGTAGTACCGCGCCAGTTTCGGACTTTCCTTTTGGTCCTCCTCAGTAATCTTAGCCCCATTATCCACCAATAACTGGAAAGTTTGAAAATCATTGTTAGCTTCGGCGATAACTAGTGGTGTTAACCCCTCCGCATTAGCTTGATTGACACTGGCCCCTCGTTCTACAAAGTACTTCGACATGTCAAAATTTTCCCTTTTTACAGTCGTCGTCAGAACTGTCTCGCCATCGGAATCACACTCGTCCAATCTAGCTCCATTCTCTGTCAGTAATTTAATCATCTCTATATAATTCCGCTTCAACAGATCAATAATAGTCGAAATTTCCGACTCAAGCTCGTCTACCACTTTCGCGCCGCTTTCAATTAGGTACTTTGCGATGTTGACGCTGTTTAAGTTTATGGCTACCGCTAAAGGTGACTTTGTTTTGTCAGTTCCAAGTTCAAAAGTTCCACGTTTCCTCAATACTTGCACTACTTGTAAATTTTCGGTCTTTATGGCTTCTGAAAACACCGAGTCGATGATGTACTCTGCTCCGTGGTCTAAAAGCCAGTTAATCATAGCGATATCTTCATTAAGAACTGCCCACAAAAGTGGCGTTTTTCCGTCTGTCCCGAATTTACAAACGTTGGCATTGTTGTTTGTGAGACATTTAGCAGCTTCTAATTGTTTGAAACGTACGGCAGTACCTAATGCAGTGTTTCCGTCAGTACTTAACATATTGATGTCAGCTCCAGCTTTTAATAGAACTTTGAGCGAATTCACACTTCCTTTTTCTGCGACCCAAGCCAAAGGCGTTTTGTCGTTTTTCGATTCATTCACATCAGTACCGTATTTCAACAAGCACTGGATGACATCGGAAGACTCATTTCTAATCGCAGCTATAAGTGGAGTATTTTGCATGTTGTCTACCACATTGGTAGCTACTTTGTTTTTTAGAAACAGTTCGACAATGTCCCATTTATTTTCTTTGCTGGCTAGGATTAACGGTGGTACTCCTTTTATATCACAATCCATGGTGTCGGCACCCTCGTACAAGAGAATTTCCACCATTTCTAAATTCCCTTCTCGTACGGCAGCTGTTAGAGGAGTTTCGTATGAATCTCGCAATTTGATATCAGCACCCTTTTTAAGCAACAATTTAACCACGTCTAAACGATTTAGAATTATCGCAAGTATTAGGGGCGTTAGACCTCCCGACTCTCTTTTATTAATATTAACACCTTTTGTTATTAACAACTCTATGGTGTTTATGTCCGATTTTCGCACAGCCCATGTTAAAGTGGTACAACCATAACTGTTGGTGTAGTTAATATACTGAAATGACGTAAGATATTCCAGTTGGTTTCTTTCTATAATTCTAAATAGTTCCTAAAATGTTAAATAAAAATTAAATAGTCTATGTTTGGTTTTTATCACCGTGTATCATAGTAGTAGTACCGATTGATTAAAAAAGTATACAAAACAGTTGTGTAACCTCAAAAATGTCATGGCATACAATTTCTTATTAATATTTATTCCAAGCTACAAAATCGAATCCCCAGCAATTTAAACAGCTCTGAATCATATACAGTCGGTGTTAAGTACCTATTGAAGATATTTTCAACTTTAAATCTCGGACATGCGTAACTTGAGGTCACTCGCATATACGGTTTCTCGTTTTATTGTTTTCGATTTAAAATTGTAAAGTTAGTGCGAGAACTAAGTAGCTTATGTTCAAGTTTTACAAATCTGAACATTAACAACAATACACTCACCTCAATATTAGACATTTTAACTGCAAACTGAAAAACGAAGAGCTTTCTAATCACGTATTTAAAAGAAGGAAGGACACTATTAGCGTTTCACCAGGGTATTCCCACCTTTATGAACACTTTGCATATTCTATTATCGCATTTTTGATAAGCGAACAAATATTGTTATGATTACAATACTGTGAACATATTCTTAAGTCTATGCAACCAGTTACACTTCTCCGGTTACAAGGAAATCGAATAATTAAATACAAATACCGACTTTGCAAATAGGCTCCGCCCCTCGGTCTTACAACAAATGAAAAATTCATCACAATTGAGCTTGGGATGGATATGGGTGAGGCTTAATTTTTGGTTTGTTCCAACGTCAACATCAACGGATGATATAAACGACGCAAACCTTCGCTGCATATTTTTCTTACAACGGCAACGCCGAACAGCAACGTCTAGCGGCAAGTTTATAAATCCACCTTTAACATCGAAACGAATAGTAAATTAACATACATAACAATGTTAATAAGTTTTCAGTTTTTTTAAACCAACATTAATAACATTATGATGATAACTTGTATTATTGTTAATTCTAATCAGAACTACTATAATTTAGATTATAAACTGTATTATAAATAAAGGCATTAAAAGGAAAACATTTGACTTTCTTACCAACAACTATCCTATTCAAATTTGACGGGCCCGTACTTCCTGGAAAAATGGCCGACGTGTTTCAAGGTCAAACTTTTTGTGCACACCAAGAACAGAGGAATTTAAACCTCATATTGCTACTATTAGTTATTAAAACGTTTAACGAGAGTTAATCGTAACGACGACAATGCCATTGTTTCCCCAATACGCGTGGCTAATTCTTGCGGTTTGTTCCGAGCGGAAATAAGTGAATTTTCGACCGACGCCAAAACGTGTGTAAATTTGTTTTATTGTTTGTAAATTCACAGTTCATGTTAGGAGTTTAATCGTTAACTAGTTCTAACGCAATTTAACAATCAGGAATTTATTTAGATAAGAGATGTCATGAAATTCACTGACGTTATCCCCCTCTGGGAAAAGACCCCGAAACCTGTTACGAATTGAAAATTCGCAGTAGCTATTTCGGTTTTTATTGGCATTCTCGGATCGGATTACATTTTGTTTACTCGTTTTTTTTTTTCTCGTTTCGTCATTTCGTGCAATGGGTGGTTGGGTTGGGCACGGTGGCAATGAAGGACAACTTTGGTGGAGGGTTCGTCCCGAGCTTTTGACTCCCCCAGTCGCAAGACTGTCGCGATGATTCTGAGCTTGGAGGGGCTCAGATGAGTGTTTCAGCCTCGCTGTTGTAGATCGGTCTTCTGGATCGTTTCAGCTTGGTTCTTGCTATAAGGAACTGGATGGATCGCGCCATCCCAGAGCTTCACTCTGAAATTCGATTTTCGTTCTGTTTGTTACTTTTGTTCGCGAATTTCATTTGCTTACCTAGGTGGGAACAAACGCCGTGGAGCGTCCCCTAGAGTCTTCGTCATTTCTGGAATCTTGATAGCCTTGTTTGTTTTTTTTTCTTTTGTTAATAACCATCGCATCCACTCATTAGTTACATCGATTAGGGATTTTCGTCGGAATTCGACGTTTCGTAAGTTTGCCACTAGAGGGCCAAACTTCCGTGAACTCTCGCTTCGTTACCTTGCCACGTCATCGCAGGTGGAAGGGAATCCATTTTGCTTTGGTACTCCGTGTTGAATGGTGTTGGGGGTTAGTGCTTTCCTCTTTTGCAGTTCGTTTTAGCAACCTTTTCTTTGGCGTTACGTTTGGAATCGCATTCGTTGGATCTGTTGGGTCCCCTAAAAGGTGCTATCGCTGGGAGCGCATTTGTGAGCTGTAAAAGAAATAGTGCGTTCGAGCACTACGACTTCGTCGGATTTTTTGTTGATTAAGAGCACTAGACCATCCCGCTAACATCGGAGAAGCTGCAGTCGATCCGCAGGTAAATCTTTTGATTAGCTTTTCCCTGGCATCCCTTCGAACAGTGGTTATGGTTATTTTCATGTTAACGATAATATTTTACTACTTACCAAGTGCATGTGACATGTGGAACCCTTGGGGTTGACTGAGTTCGAACATCTTCTCAGACTTTGCTCTCCTTGCAGCTTTTTTTGTTTTGTCGCTGATCTTGTTATTCCCGTGATCGAGAATTGGAGCCAGTTTTGAGTGGGAGAACGAATTCTATGAATTCCAACTGTCGTGGGCAGTTGTGAGCCCTCCCAGAACAGCTGGAGAGTTACCATCGGTTGGACAGGCCGTCACCAAAAACCTCGACTCGACATCGACTGGAAATTCGCTGCGACGCCGCTGTGTTTCGACATCTCGTCGTGGATATCGAAGGAGGCAGGTGCCCATGGTACTTCCATTCCATCTCATTAAGTTTAAGTATTAGTCGCCTTACCTTTTTCTTTATTGTATCGCAAAACGTTTCGAAGTCTGGCGTAACTAGCACTCGCACATAACCTAGTAATAACAACCGGTAAGACTGTGACGCTCCGCTCTACGTAATACCTTCGTACGTTCGTTAGGACTACCGAGCGTGTGGCCTACTTCGTTTATCTCATAGCCCTCGAAATAATTAATCAAATCGTTATTCGTTACGACTCCAACTAATTTGTTCGCTTCGTAAACATCGTTCGTATCGCTCGTATTTATCGTTAATTAGTTCGTCGCCTTTCGTAATTAAACTATCGTTCGTATTGCTCGTATTTATCGTAAACAGTTAGTCGCATTAAATCATTATCATTAATATCTTACTCATTTTCTTTTGCTTAATTATTTAGTTATTTCTCACCCTTACTTGTTTTTCTTTTTAATTAGTGACCTTAGGTTTTATTGTAACCAATAATTTAAGTAACAGCTTGCAATTACAATAGTTAAATATTTTTCCGGTTTTTTGTTGTTGTAATTGTGTCTTAATAAAAACTGGTGGCGCCCTGGCGACGTCGCTACACAAAACAGTGTGCTCTCTCTTCTTTGCGAACCTCTAGCGACCTGACCCTTTGCACCCGCAGGAACTCACCCCTTCTCCACTAGCAGGCCGGCAACGAGCTGTGAGTTTGGCTCGTAACAAACCACGGTAGAATTCATAATATCGTGGACCGAGGTACGGGGGGATTGAAGATGTAAAAGTAAATTCTTTGTTTGAATCGTGAATCGAGTGTATGGCGAATTAAAATGTTGTTTATTGTTCTTTTTGAAACTTTAACACTTGTTCAGTTGTCGTTTAATATCAGAGTTTTAGAAAGTGAACATTTAAATGGAATTGACGCAAATAACACAGAAACACGTGGCAGAAGCGGAGAGCACGGTTCCATGTCGAGCTGACAATCGCGCCATTTGCACAACCACAAGTTTGCGACCGTAACGTCCTGCTCGTATGGCATGTTCGTAATGCAGGGGTTGCTAGAATCACCGTCGTGGGGGGAGAACAGCCACGACCAGGAGCCCCAAACTCCGTTCGTGCTACAACGCCCCCTATGGGTAATTTTGCTGCGTTCTAGAATGAAACTGATATAATTCGATCGCCACACTCTTATTACGCTCTGGTGCCGCTGCCGCTGCATAGTTTTTTATTAAAATTTTGTTGTCTTGGTGACTGCCATAATTAAAATTGTCGCCACACACACGCCTACATCTGTATTAAAATGCGTCCAGTGTACAAAAGTAAAGTGGGATTTATAAACTTACTGTTGCCGTTGCTGTTCCCGCTGACGTTGCTTTTAGAGGTGAAAATTGTCATTTATAAATTCAAGTTGGCGTTGATAATAACTTTGAGGTTCAACTTTTGCCGTATTTAAAGAGGTTGTAGACGAACAGTGGAGGATTTAAGTTGATTACTACAAAAAATTACCATTTTAGACATGTTTTAAGTTTGTTGTCGAAATAAGTCTACACATGTTCAGAAAAAAAAGGCAAAATGTAAGCCCGCCCACCCGCCCTATCTCAATTGTGATGATTTTTTTTATTCGTCCTGAGCCAAAGGGGCGGTGCTTAACTGCAAAATACTTATATCGTGTTATTCAAAAAATACTATTTATATAAAAAAAAACTGAAGCCAAAAATTTGGATCTAAATTGTAATGAAGTTTTCATTACAATTTTGCATTTTTTTTCTTAATATACACAGTATAAAAAGGACAACACGAGACTAATTATTACAATCGAGATAGGGCGGGTGGGCGGGCTTACATTTTGCATTTTTGTTTTAATACGTGTGTCTAATTTCATGTTGTGAAAAGAAGTCTTTCTTTTCACAACATGAAATTTAAAACATGTTTAAATTGAAAATTTGCATAAGGAAATATCGATTTTAAGTTTCTTGTTGTGAAAACATCACTATATATAATTAAGAAAAAAAAGGCAAAATATATGAAATTAAGAACATTGAATATTTAGTCATTTTCTGGATTCGACAATCTAATAAATCCTGAGCATTGTTGACTATACAACCAGTTAAACTGCTGATGCAACAATGTAAAAATGCACCCAACAGAAAAAACATCATTTTTATAGAAATTTCACAAAATAAATTCGCATATACCATATTAAAAACCTTTCCGTTTTTCTCTTTAGCTTGTATTCATCTTCTAAAAAAAATTTCTTTCCCCCCTTCTGATGACTTGATCAAAACTGTGTGAGCAATTTTCACCGTCAAGAAATTCACTATTTAAACGAAGTTCGTCAACAACGTAGGCATCATTCGCAATAAAACACGTTCCTAGTGTTACACTTGGTACTACACCAAAAGTACCCACATCAATGACGTAATAAGATCAAAGAATCAACACCTGATTAACATTTATATTCTGGTAAAACTTCCTATTAAAAACTTATTTAAAAAAAATGGCACAATTGAACTTATAAACCACTGCTCACTCTTTGGCATCTTCTTGATTCGAACCAATTTCTAAAACCACACAAATATAAATACTCTTTTTTAACTAACCTTTTTCCCGTTACCTACGCTTGTTTTCCCTTTTCTCAAACTGCTCTCTTGCGCTATTCGGTAGTACCGGGCCAGTTTTGGACTTTCCTCTTGGTCCTCCTCAGTAATCTTAGCTCCATTATCCACCAAGAACTGGAAAATCTGAAAATCATTATTAGCTTCGGCGATAACTAGTGGTGTTAACCCCTTCGAATTAGGTTGATTGACATTGGCTCCTCGTTCTACGAAGTACTTCGCCATACCAAAATTTTCTTTTTTTATAGCTGTCGTCAGAACGGTTTCACCACAGGAATCAAGCTCGTTCAATCTAGCACCGTTCTCTATCAGCAATTTCACCATCTCCAAATTATTTCGTTTGAAGAGATCAGTAATGGTCGAAATTTGAATGTCTGCCACTTTCGCGCCGCGTTTAATTAGGTATTTTGCAACATCGACACTGTTTAGGGCCATGGGTAAAGATGATGTCGCTTTATCAGCTTCAAGTTCAAAAGTTCCATGTTTTTCCAATACTTGAACTACTTGTAAATTTCCGGTTTCAATGGCTTGTAAAAATACCGAGTCGATGATGTATTCCGCTCCGTGATCTAAAAGCCAGTTAATCATAGCAATATCTTGGTTGAGAACTGCCCACAAGAGTGGCGTTTTTCCCTTTGCTCCAAATTTACAAACGTTGGCGTTGTTGTTTGTGAGATATCGAGCAGCTTCTAAACGTTTGAAACGTACGGCAGTACCTAATGCAGTGTTTCCGTCAGTACTTAACATATTGATGTCAGCTCCAGCCTTTAATAGAACTTTGAGCGAATTCACACTTCCTTTTTCTGCGGCCCAAGCCAACGGTGTTTTGTCGTTTTTCGATTCATTCACATCAGTACCGTATTTCAACAAGCACTGGATGACATCGGAAGACTCATTTCTAACGGCAGTTACAAGTGCGGTGTTTCCCTCGCCGTCTACCAGGTTCGTATTTACTGTTTGTTTTAGAAACAGTTCAAGAATATCACTTTTATTTTCTTTGCTGGCACGAATAATCGGTGGTACTCCTTTGAAATCACAATCCTCGACATCGGCACCCTTTTTTAGGAGAAGTTTCACCATTTGTAGGTTTCCTTCTCGTACAGCAGCCGTCATAGGCGTGTCGTATGAATCTCGCAATTTGATATCAGCACCATTTTTCAACAACCATTTAACCATTTCAAAACGGTTTAGGTTTATGGCGAGTAATAGGGGCGTTGCACCTCCAGTCTCTCTTTGATTAATTCTAGCACCTCTTTTCAGTAAGAGTGTTAAAGTGTCTATGTTTGATTTTCTCACAGCCCATGCGAAATTGGTACTACCATTAATCTGCTGCTGAGCATTTATATCGTAGCTACACCGTTGAGGTTCCTCGGTATATTTCAGTTCGTTTCGTTCTAGATTTTTGAATACTTCCTAGAATGATATTTTTCTTTGTACTAATTAATACGGGATATCGTACTACTAAACCACTGGACATTTAACAATGCACTCACCTTAATACTAACTGCCATTTTTACGTACACAATAAACACGTACACCTGTTTAGTTCTATGTTTTATTTAGAATTAGTGCACTTTTCACACAAAATATCGTGAATTACCACGCTTCACATAACCTATATCATAGTGTTTATATACAAACTATGCAACCAGTTAAACTCCAAGTACTACACAATAAGTACCACAACAAAGAAACATAATTTTTATTGAAAACATGTAAGTTATCTCCTATTCTAACAACAAACTTTTGTAAAATATCATAAGCTTGGAATCTCATGGCGCATCAATCGAATTCTAAAATATAAACACATTCTTAAAGTCAGTCACTTACACATTACAATGCATACCTATAATGTAATAATTTCGTTCAGCTAAAGTTTTCTCCTTGACAATTTCAACAGGAGTCTCAACACGTGCATTTTCTTCTACTACAGTTTCATGCTCTGCTTCTTCCTGATTAGAACCCAATTCTGAAAAACAATATACCGCCAACCCTTTCAAAAAGTACCACCTTACCCGTGTCCGCAATTTTCCTTTTCCAAATATTTTCTTGCGCTATTTGGTAGTACCTCATCAACGTTTCGTCAAGTAACATGGAACCAACCTGAATCACCGCTCCCGAGTCCACCAAAAACTGAAAAGTGCGAAAATCTCTCACCCTCGCTGCTGCAACCAGTGGTGTTAATGTGTTTCTGTTTGCCTGATTAACATTGGCACCGCAACGTACAAAATACTCGATCATCTCGAAATCTTCTAGTTCTATAGCTTTAGTCAACGCAGTGTTTCCACAACCACCAAACTTATCCAATCCAGCTCCATTGTCAACTAAAAGTTTGACCATTCCGTAGTTTTTCTTCTCCATGAAGGTAAGCAGATACGATATTTCAGCGCCCTTGAGGTCGTCCAAGAGCGTATCTCCTTTGGCTAGCAAAAATTTCACGATTTCGGTACTTTCAACAACCAGTGCTTGAACCAGAGGAGTTTTGGCCTTAGTTTTAATAATAATAATAATACTTTATTCCCAACAGGTAATAATACACCCAGTAACAGGGAAAAAAATTAACAATAATTATGAAGTAGTGCAGTAAATACAAAGAAAAAGAAAAAGAAAAAAAATATATATATGTATAAAATATTAACTCAAATAAAATTAAGTAAAAATAAGTCACAAGTGAAAACTTAATCCAAAAACGCAACTTTTAATTAATGGTTCAATTATAATATTATGATCGGAACAAAAGACAAAATAAATTATTTATTACAGTAGACTTTATAAATGGTTTGAATAACAGTACCTAAACTATCAGCATTTATGTCGCAAAATTTAGATATATGATTAAATAGTTCACACATGAGAATTATAGGTGATCTACGTAACACATTTGTTCTGGTTGCTAATGAGTAAAATGTTAAAAACTGTCGAGAATGAACACGAGGTACAATGAAACGAATTTTATCTAAAAGAATTATACAGTCTATTTTGTTATTAACTAACTTATGTAGAAAGCTGATGGTATGAATAATACGCCTAATTTCTAAGGAAATAAAGTTGAATTGATTTAACAGTTGTAAGTGATCACACCCTCTGTCAGGATATACCCCAGATGAACGATATGACAGAAATTTCAGGAACTTACGTTGGACGGATTCTATATTTTTTATTTGAATTTCGTAAATTGGAAACCATATTAGTACTCCGTATTCAAGTTGAGATCTAACTAATGCGTAATACAGATTGCAAAGAGTAGAGATGTTTAGAAAATCATTACAATTTCTGTAAATGAAACCATACATCCTGTAAGCTTTTGACACTATTTCTGTCATATGATCATTAAACATTAGCCTACTATCAAAGGTGATTCCAAGGTCTTTATACTTTTCTCCACGATTTAGGGTAACTGCATCGATATTATAATTGAAGATAATAGGTTCCTGTTTTTTAGTATACGAAACTACAAAACATTTATTTTTATTTAGTGATAAACGATTAGTGTTGCACCACTCGACTACAGTATTAATGTTGGTTTGAAGAATCCTACAATCATCAATGGTGTTAATTTCAAAAAACAATTTCAAGTCATCTGCAAATAACAACTTTTCGGAAGATATATGTTCAACAATGTCGTTAATAAACAGTAAGAACAAAAGTGGTCCCAAATTAGATCCCTGAGGAACTCCAGATGTCGGTGAATATATTTCTGAATAGAAGTTACGATATCGTACTAACTGCACTCTACCAATAAGGTACGACTTGAATAATTTAAGTAATGACTCAGAGAAGCCAAATTGGCGCAGTTTGTCTAGGAGAATAAAAGTAATCGATTTGGTCGAAGGCCTTAGAAAAATCCATATATATCGCGTCGACTTGACTTCTACTATCGATTAACTGAGATACGTATTGAGAAAAACAAGCCAGATTCGTCACAGTCGACCTCTTCTCAACGAAACCATGTTGGTATGGTGTTATAAAAGATTTCACAGATGAATAAATTAGCTTATACATTACTGATTCAAATGTCTTCACAAAATTACATAATAAACTTATGGACCTGTAGTTCTTTACATCAGCTTTATCCCCAGACTTAAATATGGGAGTAATGCAGGATTTTTTCCAAAGTTCTGGTACCTGACAATCTTTGAGAATAAGATTAAATATTCTAAGCAATGGAGTCACAAAGATATATATGCACAGTCCTTGAGTAGAAAGCTAGGAATGCCATCAGGACCGGATGTAAATGTGTTCTTACAGTTTTTTAAGGCCAAGAGAATATCTTTTTCAGACAGTGAAGTAATAGTAACTGAAAGCTGAGCTGCTGTTTCATTCGTAGTGCAAAAAGGAGCTAAACAATCGGACTTTATATAAACATTACTAAAATGATGAGCAAAAGCGTTAACTATAGCTTGTGGACATGATAGTTCTCTGTCATCATAGCGCATTAAGCCAGGAATACGTGTGCTACCTTTTTTGTTATGAAGAAACATCCAAAATGACTTAGGATCTATAGAAATATTATTTTCAATCTTACGCATGTACATTCTATAAGCATTTTGAATAAGCACTTTACATTTGGAACGATGGAATTTAAATAAATTATAGTAATGAGCAGTTTTATATTTTTTATACAGTTTGTGCAATGAGTATTTAGTACGTATAGCATTTCTTATTTCCTGATTAAACCAGGGAGGATATTGTCGACGGTTAGTACTCAATTTGATTTTAAATTTAGGAACAGCAAGATCAAAAATTTCATGGAGTTTGGCATAAAAAAGAGAACAAATTTCATCAACGCTACCATCGGTATCTAGGAAATCCCAGTTGCAAGAGTAAAGCATATCATAAAGAACTGGAAAGTTTGCCTTTCTAAAGTCATATTGTTCTAGATTATTTATAGGGAAAGATTGATCAAGGGGGATTACAGATTTTATAACTATACAAAGAGAAGGATGGTGAACATCATCATCGACGAAATTGAAATCAGAAGCCTCTACCTTACACTCGATATTAGAGAAAACTAAGTCTAGAATATGGTGATATTTATTTTGCACATTATTATGCTGCTCTAAATTAAGGAAAGATTGGAAATTATTAAGAGATAGAGTGAATTGGTTTATTTTACCCAAGGTGAAATCCGGAATGTTAAAGTCACCACAAATCAAAATTTTATTATTTTCTTGAATGTCTATTCTACTTAGGGCTTCAAGAAATAGTTGAAATTCATGTACTGATACCTGAGGAGGTACGTAAAGGACAATAAGAATTAATTCCTGCTTAACACTCAACAATTTAACTCCTACAACATCTATAGTCGGAACAATATCCCCTAAATAAGAAAGATCCAGAGCAGATGATTTCAATGTATTATTAATACCTAAAAGTACCCCACCTCCTCGAGAGACGCCCATCGCTTGTAGATCCCTGTCTTTCCGATAAACAACAAAATCATGAGGAAGAAATTCAGTGTTACTAATATCACTGGCCAACCAAGTTTCAGTTAACGCTATTATATCAACATTGATTAATTCAGAAACAGAATTGTAAAAGTTAGATATTTTGGATCTTAAGCCCCGAACATTCTGGTAAATACAACACAACGAAGACGTGCAACTGGGTGTTCTTTTTAGTTTACCGAGACAATTTTGGGTGAGCCATTTATATATTTTATTCTCAGATTTGTTTCCCCGTTGCTTATTCTAATGCCAAGTTGTTCTTTGACTTGTCTGTAGGATGCGTTTTGCTTAGGAGTGCGATCGAAGGACAGAGTAATGTTGTTATAGTTTACGTTGCTTTTCAGTACCTTGGCATTACGAATAAATTTTTGAACCTCGAGTTCATCATTCAAGATAACTCTTATGGGTCTAGGTTTATTACCGGGATTTTGTTGAGAAAAGCGACCCAAACGTTGAATCTTAATACCAGAAACATCAGCATCAGGCCGGACTAATTGTAAAATATTTTCAACGGCAGACTTATCTATTGCAGAACGCTGATTATTATTATTAGTAGAAATCTGTGGTTGCTCTTCAACACCAAATATGATTAAGTTTTGTTTTCGATTTTGCCTTTCCATTACTTCGTTAACGATTTCTTCAAATTGATTGCTGGGGCTACGCTGGTCTTCATGAAGCGCGGACCGAAGAGTGGCTAGTTGAGTGTCAAAGTCTTCTTTCAGTTTCTCTATGGCAGTTGTAAACTCGATTTGTAACGATGAAATTAAGGTTTTGAAATCTTTATACTGAGCCATATTATTGTTGCATGTATAGCACACTACTTTTATTGACCTAGATTTAGCTCGTGTTATCTTCACGTCATTTTCGGAGAGCCCCACACAGGCAATATGCAATATTCCTTGACAACCATCGCAAGTTATGGTATGGGCATTAGCTTTGCATACAATACCACAATTTAAGCAAATATTATTCATTATGATTAAAAAAAAGTGGAATATAGGATATAACAAGGACACAAGTTCTTCACACCCAAGGGTCTGTTCGGGTAGCTAACTTTCGACAAACAGGAAGACCACGGGAGGTAAAACATAAGAGAACAAAGGATTAATTAAAAATGTTGTACGACCGCAGTCATTCACCTTAATGAAAGAAACACTATCGGTACGTAAAAACGTCCCCGTGGTAACAGCCAGCACTTGAGTAGATATTGGTATATATCAAATTAACCATCCGTTGGATTCAAAAACCGTTTCGGCCTTTGGAAAGATAACACAAAACAAAGTTTTAACAATCTGGGATTTGTTGATCCCTCGGTCGTACAAGATCTTGACAATTTCCAAGTTTTTGGTGGCTATGGCATCCAGGAAAACGCTGTCAAGGATGTAGGCGGCACCCCTGTCCAAAAGCCACTTGATCATGTCAAGATCTTGGTTTTGGATAGCCCATAGGAGAGGGGTTTTTCCATTTTTACCAACCTTACAGACGTTGACACCTAAAGAAGTCAAATATCTGGCGGCTGGGTTTTGTCGATAACGAACTGCAGTCGCAAGAAGGGTGTTACCATCAGGGCCTACCATATTTCCATCGGCTCCGTTTTCAATCAGTACTTGGATAACGACCAACTGTCCTTTCGTAGCGGCACAGATTAACGCAGTTTCGTGGATATGGGCACCGTTTTTGACCAGGCATTGGATGGTTTGTCTCGAACAACCGTTTTTGACGGCGGCTATGAAAGGTGAATCTCCGGAAGAGTCTTTTGACTTTTTGGGAATCCCTCTCCTTGTAAGGAGCTTTAAAAGTTTGACATCGTCTTGTTTGATAGCCCAGAATAGCGGTGATAATCCGTCTATATTAACAACGTTGATTTTGGCACCAGTGTCTACTAGAACTTTGACGATTTCTAAATGTTGCTTCCGTACGGCTACTGTTAAAGGTGTGTCATATGAGTCACCCAAGTTAACAGACGCTCCTTTGATTAACAAGTATGTCACGATTTCGGGACGATTTAAGTGAACGGCGAGTAAAAGAAGCGTGGCACCTCCTCTTTCCGGCTTATTGACTTTGGCACCTCTTCGAACCAAAGACGAAACATTTTCTAAGTTAGATTTTCTTACCGCCCACGACAACAAAGTACTCCCACTTTCAAATACATGATTGAGATTGAATTGTTGACTACTGTCGCAACCAATGAATTCTTGGATTTCGTTGCTTTCAATAATGGCGATGAGATTGTTCTAGAACAAAAATTTGTCAAGTACTTCCCCGAATTATAAAAATTGTCACCTACCTCGGTCATTTTAGTCCACCTGGTAACACAAACATGCTCATTGACTCAAGATATTTCCTGAAATGCAACGCAGCATATTATCAAAATCCTTGAAATCTTTGAGTTTTCGGGTTATGCAACCCGTAATACATGGTAGATGGTGGGCTAATGAAATAAAACGCTTGTTGTCTTTGTTTATTGTTTAACTACAATTACGTTTCTTTTAAAAATCATCATCGCTGTTGCTGTTCATTTTACTCATTTAGAGGTGGCAAATTCAACTTTTGCGACCACGGGTTCAAAACATGTTTTTAATTTCTTGTAAAGAAATAAGTATCTTGCAGATAAGCTCCGCCCCCTTGGTTCACGGCGAATAAGGAAATCATTACAATCGAGATAGGGCGGGTGGGCGGGCTTACATTTTGCCTTTTTGTTTTAATATGTGTTGACTTCTTTTCACAACGTGAAAATTTGTACAAGGAAATACCGATTTTAAGGTTTTTATTGTGAAAAGATGACTACATATAATTAAGAAAAAAAAAGGCAAAATATAAGAAATTAAGAACATTGAATATTTAGTCATTTTCTGGATTCGACAATCTAATAAATCCTGGGCATTGTTATTACTATACAACCAGTTAAACTGCTGATGCAACAATGTTAAAATGCACCCAACAGAAAAAACATCATTTTTATAGAAATTTCACAAAATAAATTCGCATATACCATATTAAAAACCTTTCCGTTTCTCTCTTTAGCTTGTATTCATCCTCTAAAAAAAATTTCTTTCCCCCCTTCTGAATCCTTTCCGTTTTTCTCCTTAGCTTTTTGTTTTTATCTTCTAAAAAAAAATTCTTTCCCTCCCTCCGATGATTTGATTAAAACTGTGTGAGCAATTTTCACCGTCAAGAAACTTACTATTTCAACGAAGTTCGTCAACAACGTAGGCATCATTCGCAATAAAACACGTTCCTAGTGTTACACTTGGTACTACACCAAAAGTACCCACATCAATGACGTAATAAGATCAAAGAATCAACACCTGATTAACATTTATATTCTTGTAAAACTTCCTATTAAAAACTTATTTAAAAAAAATGACACAATTGAACTTATAAACCACTGCTCACTCTTTGGCATCTTCTTGATTCGAACCAATTTCTAAAACCACACAAATATAAATACTCTTTTTTAACTAACCTTTTTCCCGTTACCTACGCTTGTTTTCCCTTTTCTCGAACTGCTCTCTTGCGCTATTCGGTAGTACCGGGCCAGTTTCGGACTTTCCTCTTGGTCCACCTCAGGAATCTTAGCTCCATTATCCACCAAAAACTGGAAAATCTGAAAATCATTATTAGCTTCGGCGATAACTAGTGGTGTTAACCCCTTCGAATTAGGTTGATTGACATTGGCTCCTCGTTCTACAAAGTACTTCGCCATACCAAAATTTTCTTTTTTTATAGCTGTCGTCAGAACGGTTTCACCACAGGAATCAAGCTCGTTCAATCTAGCACCGTTCTCTATCAGCAATTTCACCATCTCCAAATTATTTCGTTTGAAGAGATCAGTAATGGTCGAAATTTGAATGTCTGCCACTTTCGCGCCGCGTTTAATTAGGTATTTTGCAACATCGACACTGTTTAAGGCCATGTGTAAAGATGATGTCGCTTTATCAGCTTCGAGTTCAAAAGTTCCATGTTTTTCCAATACTTGAACTACTTGTAAATTTCCGGTTTCAATGGCTTGTAAAAATACCGAATCGATGATGTATTCCGCTCCGTGATCTAAAAGCCAGTTAATCATAGCAATATCTTGGTTGAGAACTGCCCACAAGAGTGGCGTTTTCCCCTTTGCTCCAAATTTACAAACGTTGGCGTTGTTGTTTGTGAGATATCGAGCAGCTTCTAAACGTTTGAAACGTACGGCAGTACCTAATGCAGTGTTTCCGTCAGTACTTAACATATTGATATCAGCTCCAGCCTTTAATAGAACTTTGAGCGAATTCACACTTCCTTTTTCCGCGGCCCAAGCCAAAGGTGTTTTGTCGTTTTTCGATTCATTCACATCAGTACCGTATTTCAACAAGCACTGGATGACATCGGAAGACTCATTTCTTACGGCAGCTACAAGTGCGGTGTTTCCCTCGCCATCTACCAGGTCCGTATTTACTGTTTGTTTTAGAAACAGTTCAAGAATATCACTTTTATTTTCTTTGCTGGCGCGAATTATCGGTGGTACTCCTTTGAAATCACAATCATCGACATCGGCACCCTTTTTTAGGAGAAGTTTCACCATTTGTAGGTTTCCTTCTCGTACAGCAGCCGTCAAAGGCGTGTCGTATGAATCTCGCAATTTGATATCAGCACCATTTTTTAACAACCATTTAACCATCTCAAAACGGTTTAGGTTATGGCGAGTAATAGGGGCGTTGCACCTCCAGTCTCTCTATGATTAATTCTAGCACCTCTTTTCAGTAAGAGTGTTAAGGTGTCTATGTTTGTTTTTCTCACAGCCCATGTGAAATTGGTACTACCATTAATCTGCTGCTGAGCATTTATATCGTAGCTACACCGTTGAGGTTCCTCGGTATATTTCAGTTCGTTTCGTTCTAGATTTTTGAATACTTCCTAGAATGATATTTTTCTTTGTACTAATTAATACGGGATATCGTACTACTAAACCACTGGACATTTAACAATGCACTCACCTTAATACTAACTGCCATTTTTACGTACACAATAAACACGTACACCTCTTTAGTTGTATGTTTTATTTAGAATTAGTGCACTTTTCACACAAAATCTCGTGAATTACCCACGCTTCACATAACCTATATCATAGTGTTTATATACAACCTATGCAACCAGTTAAACTCCAAGTACTACACAATAAGTACCACAATAAAGAAACATAATTTTTATTGAAAACATGTAAGTTATCTCCTTTTCTAACAACAAACTTTTGTAAAATATCATAAGCTTGGAATCTCATGGCGCATCAATCGAATTCTAAAATATAAACACATTCTTAAAGTCAGTCACTTACACATTACAATGCATACCTATAATGTAATAATTTCGTTCAGCTAAAGTTTTCTCCTTGACAATTTCAACAGGAGTCTCAACACGTGCATTTTCTTCTACTACAGTTTCATGCTCTGCTTCTTCCTGATTAGAACCCAATTCTGAAAAACAATATACCGCCAACCCTTTCAAAAAGTACCACCTTACCCGTGTCCGCAATTTTCCTTTTCCAAATATTTTCTTGCGCTATTTGGTAGTGCCTCATCAACGTTTCGTCAAGTAACATGGAACCAACCTGAATCACCGCTCCCGAGTCCACCAAATACTGAAAAGTGCGAAAATCTCTCACCCTCGCTGCTGCAACCAGTGGTGTTAATGTGTTTCTGTTTGCCTGATTAACATTGGCACCGCAACGTACAAAATACTCGATCATCTCGAAATCTTCTAGTTCTATAGCTTTAGTCAACGCAGTGTTTCCACAACCACCAAACTTATCCAATCCAGCTCCATTGTCAACTAAAAGTTTGACCATTTCGTAGTTTTTCTTCTCCATGAAGGTAAGCAGATACGATATTTCAGCGCCCTTGAGGTCGTCCAAGAGCGTATCTCCTTTGGCTAGCAAAAATTTCACGATTTCGGTACTTTCAACATCCAGGGCTTGAACCAGAGGAGTTTTGCCCGTCGTTTTAACAATCTGGGATTTGTTGATCCCTCGGTCGTACAAGATCTTGACAATTTCCAAGTTTTTGGTGGCGATGGCATCCAGGAAAACGCTGTCAAGGATGTAGGCGGCACCCCTGTCCAAGAGCCACTTGATCATGTCAAGATCTTGGTTTTGGATAGCCCATAGGAGAGGGGTTTTTCCATTTTTACCAACCTTACAGACGTTGACACCTAAAGAAGTTAAATATCTGGCGGCTGGGTTTTGTCGATAACGAACTGCAGTAGCAAGAAGGGTGTTACCATCAGGGCCTACCATATTTCCATCGGCTCCGTTTTCAATCAGTACTTGGATAACGACCAACTGTCCTTTCGTAGCGGCACAGATTAACGCAGTTTCGTGAATATGGGCACCGTTTTTGACCAGGCATTGGATGGTTTCTCTCGAACAACCGTTTTTGGCGGCGGCTATGAAAGGTGAATCTCCGGAAGAGTCTTTTGCCTTTTTGGGAATCCCTTTCCTTGTAAGGAGCTTTAAAAGTTTGACATCGTCTTGTTTGATAGCCCAGAATAGCGGTGATAATCCGTCTATGTTAACAACGTTGATTTTGGCACCACTGTCTACTAGGACTTTGACGATTTCTAAATGTTGCTTTCGTACGGCTACTGTTAAAGGTGTGTCATATGAATCATCCAAGTTAACAGACGCTCCTTGGTTTAACAAGTATGTCATGATTTCGGCACGATTTAAGTGAACGGCGAGTAAAAGAGGCGTGGCACCTCCTCTTTCCGGCTTATTGACTTTGGCACCTCTTCGAACCAAGGACGAAACATTTTCTAAGTTAGATTTTCTTACCGCCCACGACAACAAAGTACTCCCACTTTCAAATACATGATTGAGATTGAATTGTTGACCACTGTCGCAACCAATGAATTCTTGGATTTCGTTGCTTTCAATAATGGCGATGAGATTGTTCTAGAACAAAAATGTGTCAAGTATTTCCCCGAATTATAAAAATTGTCACCTACCTCGGTCATTTTAGTCCACTTGGTAACACAAACATGCGTAAATTGAGTCAGTTTCTGCTTATCGACTCAAGATATTTCCTGAAATGCAACGCAGCATATTATCAAAGCCCTTGAAATCTTTCAGTTTTCGGGTTATGCAACCCGTAATACATGGTAGATGGTGGGTTAATGAAATAAAACGCTTGTTGTCTTTGTTTATTGTTTAACTACAATTACGTTTCTTTTAAAAATCATCATCGCTGTTGCTGTTCATTTTACTCGGTTTCGACGACTGCGCCCTTTTCACCACATCCATCCCCGACAACTCCAACCCCAGCGACTCGTCGTCGGAATGAATCAACTCTGATTCGTCCTTATCGATAAACAACTCGTCGGTTTCCGAGTCGGAGCTCAGAGAGGGTGTCGCTGACAACGGGGGTTGCATCCCCCCATACACTTTAGCGGTTTTGCTAGTCCTAGACCTCCCTGAAACAAAACAAATCATAACCTTAAAAAAAAACATTTTCGTTAGCACCTCCAGTGCTCGCCCGCGGCCTCTCCTGTCTGTTCACCGCCCCCTGCCGCCCCTCCCCCTCCTCCGTCTCCAAGAACACGTCCCCCTGCTCGCCCCCTTCCAACGGTATAGTTTCGATCCGCGGCGACGCCATCTGCAGCTGCTTCTCCAGCTGCGCTCGTTCCGCCTCGGTCGCCAAACGCTCCAACTGGTTCAAAATTCGCGCCCTGGTAGAATACTGGACGAAAAGCTGCTCCAGCTCCGCCTCCAAAGCCGTAAACTCCTCCAGAAAGGCGGGTCTGACCTTCTTCAAAGTCTGCAAGCGCTTTTCGTAGCGGTCGATTTCCACCTTTCTTCGCTCGATTTTGGTATCGAGGTTTGCCTCAGTCGCGGAGACGTTGTCGATCATCTGCTTGCTTTCTTCGATTTCTTGCTTGATAGCTTCTATGGCGGATTTAAGTCCGGATTCGACGTCAGGGAGTTCGTACTGGCGGCTGACGCTGCGGTGGCGCGCGCCCTGAAGAAATAACAAAGAGAGTGAAGAAGTGGGAGGGGTTTGGGGTTACTCGAAGGTCCACTTCTTTGCCGAGGAGGTCGAAGAGGGTGGCGCCGGTGGTGGTGATCTCGCTGGCGAGCTGTCTGGATAGTTTCAGTTCGTTGATCTGGAGAAAAGCGTGAGTTTTACTGGTTGCATAACCACAATTAGTTACCTTGTCGGTTAAATCGTAGTCCTTCAAGTTAAACATGTCTTCGTCGAACTGCTCATTGTCTTTGTCGTCTAGGTTCAAATTTAGGGCTTCGTATAAGAGGGTGGTTATTTTTAGTAATTCCTTGACTGCGTAGCCGTCGGCTTGGTACAGTCGTTTCGTGTTCAGTTTAATGTTGGCTTTGAGCGCCATGAACTGAGCCGCGTTTCGGATTAGTTTGACTCGGTCATCTTCAGTTTCGATGTCTGAGGGAATGTCGACGTCGGGGTCGAAACGTTTTGACAGCCACACTAGCAAATTCGCCACGAGGGGGAAATTAGGGCTGCGGAAACTCTCCATGGAGATTAGAGTCGGGTATCCTAGAGCCCTCGTCATTTCTATAAAGTCTATGGAGAAAATTTATTAATAATTATTTAGAAAAAGTGAGAAAAATTACTCACTACGGACGTCTCTGTATGACATTTTTGGTTTGTTTGTGTCGTCGATGGTTGCTAAGAAGTAGTGTTTCTTTGTGATCAATATGACATTCAAGGTCACGTCGCTACTGACTTATGCAACCCGCACCACACCACTAGAATTCCAACGGTGATTTTTCCATTCTTCGCCAAAAAAGGTGAACGCCCTTCTCCAAACAAAACAGCAAGTCTTTCAAAATGAACAATAGAAAACCAGATCAATCGCTTGCGCCACAAAAAATTAATAGCACCACTAATAAAAACCCTATTGATACATAATTACGTCTTAAGCAACACTGTCAACAACAGTTTGTACTAAATCCGAGTAAAAAAGCAAATCTCGCTAGCTTACATAACGCTGACACTTACATAAGCAAAACACCGTTTCATTGTATTTAAATCTGCACAATTACGACTCATCAATCACTCAGAAGCGGCCTTTCGTTATTTTTCATCCGGAAGAAATGGACTCCGTCACCATAACGGCCTTACCAGGGACGAGATTTCAACAAATTTCATGCAGAAAATTGCTTGGAATTGGCCTTTCACTGTGTACTTCCAATCAAAGCATTGTTTATGGTCAATGAGAGACGTTTAAAGAATGTTGGCAGGGGCGGCTCGCTACGAAAGAGGGGTTCCTTCCACTCTAGACGAGTACAAATACTTCTCGCTATGTAAAAACAACATCCAGTTGGAGATTTTGCAACTAAAGTCCCTGCATTAAAAATTCTTCAGGGGTTTCAATTAACACACAGGAACCCTAGATCCGTCAACCGCCGTCACTGCCTGCTCAAAATTGGTCTATTTTCTGTTATGTAAGCCTCCAAGGCCGGAAAATTAATGGTGCGCTCACAAATGGATCATTTTTTCATTACAGCCGATTCACATCGACCCACAGCGACCGTAACATTAACCTTGATCGCCCGCGATTTTTTGGTCTATCGATTCGCCCATTGATGGGACGATGGGTCGTTTCTGGGGCAGGAGATGAGTCGCGAATCGCGCGGTGACATCACCGTTTTTGTCCGAATTTTTAATGTTCTTTTGATTTTTGTTTGTTCTGTGCTGCTATTATGGTAAATGACTGGTCTATTGTTATTATTATTTTTTTGTTCGTTTCATTGTCAAGTTTTTATGGTACGGGGAATTATTGTTGTGTGACGCCGTTCAGAGGCAGGTGGAGAAGGAAAAGAAAAAGAAAAAGCAGGAAGTAACGAAGGAGAAAAACTGAGCTTTGTGATGCAACCAGTTAAACGCGTCGGATGAATATCGGAGTGAAAAAGTGGTCAGGAATGCACAAATTAACGTGGTTTTTTTGACGTGGAAGTTTTTTTGATTGTTTTTGTTCGTTCGGAAATTACCGCTTTGGGGTTAAGTTCGTAATTTATGTAGAATTCTTTGATTGTTTTTGGTTCGAACTGGTTATGGACGCAGTTTGCGGTATTCACTTGCATAACTAACAAAGTGAAAATTTTTTTCGTTTTCTTGTAACAATTATAAAAATATATGGTAATTGGGACTTACTTTCGTAATGATTATTAAAAAAAGTTGTATATACTAATGATAAATAATTTTTACTCTTGAGAGATCATGCCTGGAATGAGATCTGAATAATTGAAATGCACATTTGAATAGACAGACACAACCGCAAATTACTTTTTTTCGAATTGTTTGTCCAGTGTGTGGTCACTAGAAGTTTTATTTAATAAATTTGTCCATTTCTTTAGGTTCTTGGTCTCTCAGCAACAAATATAAACGAATCAAAATTTGTTTGTTCAACCCCATTAACAAATTGGTGACGTCATCTTGCTACATAACCCCTCTTTTTTTAATTTTGTAGATCTTGGACGAAAACACGATTCCATTTCCTGCAAAACGACACGAGTGTGACCTTTATATTTATTAACATTCCAACTTTATAGTTTTACAACTTTGTTATTTTGTTATCACTTATCTATAAGCCCATACATATTTATTAATTTAATAAATTACATTTTTAAAAATTCTCGTTCCAGGCTCTATAAAACCAATAAAAAGCCACAAATATGCTACGGTTTCTAGAATTTAGTTCCAATTACATATTCAAAAATCACTATTACCAAAACTACAAAAACTCTATTTCCATAACCCGTCAACACAGCACCAGTACAACCAATTAAAATTTAAATGATCACGAGTTAGTCCTAATTCGCCTGATTTATTAACCCGTAATTACTATAGTCGATTGTTGTTGCCAAAAAAATCCCAACAATTATTTCCACCAAGTCGCTTTTCCAATTTTCCGCAAACTCAATAACAACCAGTGTGAAAGTGAATAAAAAAAAGTCCTTCAATTTTCAGTTCATCAGAATCCTCGAAATTCGCAGTTTTATAGCTCATAAAATTCAAATTGCGGCACTCAGACTTACAAATAGCAAAATATTTGTTTATGTTGTGCGAATTCTGTTATAACAATCTCCCGCATTTATAATAAACCGTTAAAAAACGCAAATGCCGTGACATTATACACAATTAAAAGTGTTAGAGTGGTGTAATTTACACTGTAAACACCAATTTCGAGCAGTGTTTGTCGTTATAAAAAAAAACGGAAGCGCACAATTAGTTGTGTGTTGTGAGCGGGGTTTTGTCCCCTAACCTCACTTTCAAGAGTCAAGCAACCCGAGCGACGAAAAAATCGCTATTCTTTATTAATTTGTGGTTTTTATGGTCCATCAAGCCATAATTGATGGGAGATCGAGGTATCGCGGATTTACGTCTCCCAGAAATATTTAAATATTTTTACAAAAACGCTGCTAATTAATCTGAAAAGCAATATTTCACGAGTTTTTGCGCAGATGCGGTTTCTGGTGACAAATTGCGACACTTTTTGAGCGTAAAATGAGCGTGAAATTTTACGAGAAAAAATGGAATAACGGTTTGAAGTAATGGAAATTTCCAAAAAGAAAACGGTTTAGGTTGCGCTGCAAAAAGTGGTCGGTTGAAAGTGTAGCGAGTAGAAAAAGTGTATCAGAACCTTGGTTTTGTTGTGTTCGGTGGAGGGTGTGAAAAAATTTGACAAGTAGAGGTGTGATTTTGTGTCGACAAAAAAACATTGTTTTGTGGGTTTTTAGCAAATAGTAAACAAATGTTTCTGCTTTTTAACAATTACAGGCAATAAAAATTTAATATTATTTGGCGTTATAGTTGTTTACTTTCAATTCTTTGTACACCGTAAAAATCACTCATAAAAAAATAAGTGCTCTAAACAGGAGTTTAAGTTTTTTCTTGTATAGTTGACATAAAAAGAAATTACGTTTTTGAGGATAAATTTCAAATAGCTGAAAAAAAAAATCGATTGTGAGTTTTTTTAACAGACGGAAATTGAGGTGCAGTCCAACAAATTCTGCTTCTTTGAAAAACTATAAGACTTTTCTTTTTTGTGATAACTTTCTCTGGACCCAAAAAAAAAGATTTTACATTATTTAAAAAAAAGACAACTGGGACACCAGAGAAGGTTTCATATTCTTAAAAAAGACAGTTGGGGCCCCTGAGAAGGTTTTACGTTCTTTAAAAAAAGCCAGTTGGGACCTTAGAGAAGATTTTTATTTCTTAAAAAAAGACAATTTGATCCCCGAGACGGTTTCACATTTTTAAAAAAAGAACACTTGGACCCCCGAGAAGATTCCACATTATAAAAAAAAAAAAAACAGTTGGGATCCCGAGAAGGTTTTACTTTCTTAAAGAAATCTGATGGGATCCCCGAGAAGGTTTCACATTATTAAAAAAAAACAGTTGGAGCCCTGAGAAGGTTTCACTTTATTTAAAAAAAGCAGTTGAAACCCACGAGAAAATTTCACTTTCTTGAAAAAAGACAGTTGGAGCCCCCAAGGTTTCACTTTCTTAAAAAAAAACTGTTTGGATCCCGAGAAGGTTTCACATTATAAAAAAAAAAACAGTTGGGGCCCTGAGAAGGTTACACTTTTTTGTAAAAAAGTAGTTGAATCCTACGAGAAAATTTCAATTTCTTAAAAAAAAAAACAGCGGGAGCTCTGAGAAGGTTTCACTTTCTATAAAAAACGATATTTGGGACCTCCGAGAAGGTTTCACATTATAAAAAAAACAATTTACAACCCGAGAAGATTTCACCTCTTAAAAAAAGACAGTTAGCGTCCCCAAGAAAGTTTCACTTTCTTAAAAAAATAAAACAAACTGTTGGGACCCCCAAGAAGGTTTCACTTTCTTAACTAAAAATGTTGGGACCCTCGAGAAGGTTTCAGATTATTAAAAAAAAACAGTTGGGGCCCTGAGAAGGTTTCACTTTATTTAAAAAAAGCAGTTGAAACCCACGAGAAAATTTCACTTTCTTGAAAAAAGACAGTTGGAGCCCCCAAGGTTTTACTTTCTTAAAAAATAAAACTGTTGGGATCCTGAGGAGGTTTCACATTATTAAAAAACCCAGTTGGGGTCCTGAGAAGGTTTCACTTTTTTGTAAAAAAGTAGTTGAAACCGACGAGAAAATTTCACTTTCTTAAAAAAAAGACAGCGGAAGCCCTGAGAAGGTTTCACTTTCTTCAAAAAACGAAATTTGGGACCTCCGAGAAGGTTTCACATTATAAAAAAAAGCAATTGGCATCCCGAGAAGGTTTCACCTATTAAAAAAAGACAGTTGGGGTCCCCAATAAGGTTTCACTTTCTTAAAAAAATAAAAAAACTGTTGGGACCCCCAAGAAGGTTTCACTTTCTTAACAAAAAATGTTGGGACCCCCGAGAAGGTTTCACATTATTAAAAAAAACAGTTGGGGCCCTCAGAAGGTTTCACTTTATTTAAAAAAAGCAGTTGAAACCCACGAGAAAATTTCACTTTCTTGAAAAAAGATAGTTGGAGCCCCCAAGGTATCACTTTCTTAAAAAAAAAAAAACTGTTGGGATCCCGAGAAGGTTTCACTTTTTTGTAAAAAAAGCAGTTGAAACCGACGAGAAAATTTCATTTTCTTAAAAAAAAAGACAGCGGGGGCCCTGAGAAGGTTTCACATTATAAAAAAACAATTGACATCCCGAGAAGGTTTAACCTATTAAAAAAAAAACAGTTGGGGTCCCCAAGAAGGTTTCACTTTCTCAAAAAAACAAAAAAAACTGTTGGGACCCCCAAGAAGGTTTCACTTTCTTAACAAAAAATGTTGGGACCCCCGAGAAGGTTTCACATTATTAAAAAAAACAGTTGGGGCCCTGAGAAGGTTTCACTTTATTTAAAAAAAGCAGTTGAAACCCACGAGAAAATTTCACTTTCTTAAAAAAAGACAGTTGGAGCCTCCAAGGTTTCACTTTCTTAAAAAAAAACTGTTGGGATCCCGAGAAGGTTTCACATTATTAAAAAAAAAAACAGTTGGGGCCCTGTGAAGGTTTCACATTATTAAAAAAAAACAGTTGGGGCCCTGAGGAGGTTTCACTTTATTTAAAAAAAGCACTTGAAATCCACGAGAAAATTTCACTTTCTTGAAAAAAGACAGTTGGAGCCCACAAGGTTTCACTTTCTTAAAAAAAAAAACCTGTTGGGATTCCGAGAAGGTTTCACATTACTAAAAAAAAGCAGTTGGGGCCCTGAGAAGGTTTTACTTTCTTTAAAAAACGATATTTGGGACCTCCGAGAAGGTTTCACATTATAAAAAAACAATTGGCATCCCGAGAAAGTTTCACCTATTAAAAAAAAAAGACAGTTGGGGTCCCCAAGAAGGTTTCACTTTCTCAAAAAAATAAAAAAAAACTGTTGGGACCCCAATGAAGGTTTCACTTTCTTAACAAAAAATGTTGGGATCCCCGAGAAGGTTTCACATTATTAAAAAAAAACATTTGGAGTCCTGGAAGGTTTCACTTTATTTAAAAAAAGCAGTTGAAACCCACGAGAAAATTTCACTTTCTTGAAAAAAGACAGTTGAAGCCCCCAAGGTTTCACTTTCTTAAAAAAAAATGTTGGGATCCCGAGAAGGTTTCACATTATTAAAAAAAAAACAGTTGGGACCCTGAGAAGGTTTCACATTATTAAAAAAAAAAACAGTTGGGGCCCTGAGAAGGTTTCACTTTTTTGTTAAAAAAGCAGTTGAAATCGACGAGAAAATTTCACTTTCTTAAAAAAAGACAGCGGGAACCCTGAAAAGGTTTCACTTTCTTAAAAAAACGATATCTGGGACCTCCGAGAAGGTTTCACATTATTAAAAAAAACAGTTGGGGCCCCCAAGGTTTCACTTTCTTAAAAAAAAAAACTGTTGGGATCCCGAGAAGGTTTCACATCATTAAAAAAAAGCAGTTGGGGCCCTGAGAAGGTTTTACTTTCTTTAAAAAACGATATTTGGGACCTCCCAGAAAGGTTTCACATTATAAAAAAACAATTGGCATCCCGACAAGGTTTCACCTATTAAAAAAAAAGACAGTTGGGGTCCCCAAGAAGGTTTCACTTTCTCAAAAAAAACTGTTGGGGCCCCAAAGAAGGTTTCACTTTCTTAACAAAAAATGTTGGGACCGCCGAAAAGGTTTCACATTATTAAAAAAAAAACAGTTGGAGCCCTGAGAAGGTTTCACTTTATTTAAAAAAAACAGTTGAAACCCACCAGAAAATTTCACTTTCTTGAAAAAAGACAGTTGGAGCCCCCAAGGTTTCACTTAAAAAAAAAAAAACTGTTGGGATCCCGAGAAGGTTTTACATTATTAAAAAAAACAGTTGGGGCCATGAGAAGGTTTCACATTATTAAAAAAAACAGTTGGGGCACTGAGAAGGTTTCACTTTTTTTAAAAAACGATATTTGGGACCTCCGAGAAGGTTTCACTTTCTTAAAAAAAAACTGTTGGGATCCCGAGAAAGTTTCACATTATTAAAAAAAAAACAGTTGGGGCTCTGAAAAGGTTTCACTTTTTTGTTAAAAAAGCAGTTGAAATCGACGAGAAAATTTCACTTTCTTAAAAAAAAAAGACAGCGGGAACCCTTAAAGTTAAGACAGTTGGGACCTCCGAGAAGGTTTCAATTCTTAAAAATAAGACAGTTGAGGGCCCGTGAGAAGGTTTTACATTCTTTAAAAAATGATAATTGGGACCTCCAAGAAGATTTCACTTTCTTAAAAAAAGACGGGGCCCAGAGAAGGTTTCACTTTCTTAAAAAAAAGAAAAATACAGTTGGGGCTTCCAAAAAAAAAAAAAGACAGTTGGGACCTCTGAGAAGATTTTACTTACGTGAAAAAAAAAGTCAGTTGGGGCCCTGGGAAGGTTTCACTTTTTTGTAAAAAAAAAACAGTTGAAACCGATGAGAGAATTTCAATTTCTTAAAAAAAAATACAGCAGCAGCCCTGAGGGGGTTTCACTTTCTTTAAAAAACGATATTTGGGACCTCCGAGAAGGTTTCACCTATTGAAAAAAAAGATAGTTGGGGCCCCCAAGAAGGTTTCAGATTATTAAAAAAACAGTTGGGACCCCTGAGAAGATTTCACTCTTAAAAAAATACAGTTGGGACCTCCGAGAAGGTTTCAATTCTTAAAGATAAGACAGTTGGGACCTCGGAGAAGGTTTCAATTCTTAAAAATAAGACAGTTGGGACCTCCGAGAAGGTTTCAATTCTTTTTGTTAAGACAGTTGAGGGCCCGTGTGAAGGTTTTGCATTCTTTAAAAAATGATAACTAGGACCTCCAAGAAGATTTCGCTTTCTTAAAAAAAGACGGGGCCCAGAGAAGGTTTCACTTTTTTGTAAGAAAACAGTTGAGACCGACGAGAAAATTTCAATTTCTTAAAAAAAGACAGCAGCAGCCCTAAGAAATTTTCACTTTCTTTAAAAAACGATATTTGGGACCTCCGAGAAGGTTTCAACTTCTAAAAAAAAAACAGTTGGGGCACCCAAGAAGGTTTTATAGATTTTTAAACAGTTGGGATCTCCGAGAAGATTACACTTTTTAAAAAAAAGGCAATTGGGGCCCCGAAAATCTTTCATATTTTTAAAAAAAGAACACTTGGGTCCCCCGAGAAGGTTTCACTTTATTAAAAGGAAAGACAGTGGGAGCCCCCAGAAGGTTTCAGATTTTTGAAGAAAATAGTTAGGGTCTGTAAGGTTTCATTTCTTTAAAAAAATACATTTGGGGTTCCCAAGGAGGTTTCACATTCTTAAAAAAAAACAGTCGGAATCCCTGAGAAGATTTCACTTTATTAAAAAATAAGACACTTGGGGCCCCCGAAATGGTTTCACCTTGTTAAAAAAAAAAACAGTTGTACCCCCGAGAAGGTTTCAGATTCTTAAAGAAGACAGTTTTGGCCCCTTAGAAGGTTTCAGACTCTTAAAAAAAGACAGTTGAGTCTCTTGAGAAGGTTTCACTTTCTTAAAAAAAAGACAGTTGGGACCTCCAAGAAGATTACACTTTCTTAAAACGATAAACACATCTGGGACTCCGAAATGGTTTCATATTCTTATAAACAAAGAACATTTGGGCCCTCCCGAGAAGGGTTCACTTTCATTAAAAAAAGAGACTGTTTATGTTTATATTTCGAAAAAAATCGACTATTTCAAATTACGACCATCAGCGGTTAAAATGAAAGAAAATTTAATTTGGTCTCCTCAACGCAGAACAGAGAAGTGGTTAATTAATTAACCACGATTACTTTTCTCTCAAAAATACTCATAAATTTGAAAAACATTTACTGGACAAAATGGTAAGTTGAAATTATCGGATTCAAACTGAAAAAAAAATTTAAAGGAATCAATAATCGCACAAAACCACAAATCAGTTCTATAAACAGTCTGATCATGTTGGTCAAAATTGTTTAAATCCAAGTTGTTCTAGCTGGATCTTATAACTGTTACGTTAGCGTGCGTTTGTGGTCATTAATAATAACATACATTTTGTACCTAAAAATAAAATAATTTCAGTTTAATCGCCTCTGAAATAAATTGATGTAACACGTTTATAGTTTACGTCATCTCAAAATCCATCTAAATTCATAAACAACCACAACGTAAACAAACAAAGAAAAACAACGTAGAACCCTGTAACAAACCCAAAAAACCCACTGAAAACTCAAAAACCCATAAAGTTCACCTTCACTTAATAGCCATTTGAAATTACGACCCATCAAGTCTTCCCTGAATCAAATTGACACATTTCCGGTCATCAATTCCACATTACCGAAGTACCTAGAATTCGTACTTTTCACAATTATCACTGTTCCGGTGCTAAACCCTCAACCCACACCACCCTCACCCAGCCCAAAAACCACAATCTCCCACCCACCACAAATTTCCAATCAAAAATTTCCTCGTCCCGTCGTAAAACGCCCATTATCCGCGACCCATTTGCTGCGAAAAATGGAGCAATTACGCCGCTGTCCCAGCGCTTCGGCCCCCTCCAGACCGCTACCATGGCGATAAAACACCCAACTTCGTAGTGATAATCTTCAAAAAGGTTAACGAGTGGCGAAATTAATCGGTCATGTGACCGGCGGAAGAACGTGGTGCACAGCGAGCCGGATTAAAAAATCTAAGTACATGGTGCGAAGAGAATTCCCATGTGTTCGCTTTCCAGTTGGGTCGGCTCAGTCTAGCTGAACGCTCGGTTCTAGTAGGTTGCGATAGCTCGCGAATTCGCGCAAAACCAGTTCTAGTTTTTTTCGTTTTAGTGGAGTGCACCAGTTTGCGAAATTTTGGCACGGTAAGTCGATTTGGGGGTTTTTGGAAAAATTTTGGGGCACGGACTGTGTGGTGGTTGGTTTTTGAGTGGCTCGGAGTGACTGGTTTGAACCAGAATCGCGGCTCTTTGGCATGTCGGATTTCAGCGGAAATATGCGAGGAATGCGTTTTTTGGGTATGAATATGCATGCAGAAAGACGAATTGGTTCGAAGGAAAAATAAGTTTACGACTTTGTTTGTTGTTATGTAAATTTCAACGGGTTTGATTTGGAAAAAAATTCGGGAAATTTTTGGGTCTATGGGTTTTGGGTGGGAAATTCTGATTGAGTTTCGTGGTATTTCAATGAAATTTGGTGTTGGTGCTTTGGGATTAACCGGAAAGAGGTTCCGTGACTTCCTGGTGGAATTTGAAGAATAATAGCCCATGGCAATTCACCGATAAATGGGTGATCATGGTGCAATCGATTACAATGGGTTGTCTATATTATTTTATTGGAAATCGTCATCCAAAATTTCAACAATAGAAAGTATTCAATCGACGTATTTAACACCGCTTTAACACAAGAACACATGTCCCTGTACACCTGGTTTACTTTGATAAGGTGATTGTGTAGACTTTTGCGGTTTCCTAATGGAATTTGAGACTACTGGCACATATAACAAATAACTGATAATTGAGTAATTATAATGTAATGGACTGGGTTGGATTTTTCCACACAAGATAGTCTCGGGTAGAAATTAATTTTTATAGAACATCAGCTTATGAAAATGAACGAAGTATAGACAACAAAAATGCAAATTTGTAACCACACACTTAGTGTAAATTATTGGAAGAAAGTATTAATTTTACAAGTTTCTTATCAAGATTGTATTGGATTACCTTGGAAATATCCACTGTTTTTATGTATGAACTGGTTTTACATTTTTGTAGAAGGACAGAAAATTTTGATTCTCTTCGATTCATTGATTGAATCAATGGTGCTCTAGTTGGTCGAAACGTGAAGATGTCCCACTACAAATAGTGGTTCTAATGGGAAAAAGCCGTTAGGTTTGAAATTGATATACCTAAACACGAAAAAGTGATGACCGTTTTGTTTTCGTAGTGAAATTTGAAGGATAATGGCCTACATGACAAAGAACTGATAATTAGGTAATTATTATCTGCTTGATTGCAGTGGGTTTTTCCAAGTAAGTTTATTCAGAGTAAACTCTGGCATTCTAAATATTTCGCACGAAAGAAGAGAGCCCTCAGTGTAACTAAAATTTTGTAAATTAAAAGTAACAATTAGTCCACTAGACCAGAAATCTAGAACTGGTTTACAACTGAGTCATAAAATATCAGTTATGAACCTGAATGTGGCAAAGAAAATAAAATAAAAATACAAATTTATGACTACATGACGGAGTTTATCACTCTTGAGATAAAATTTTACTTTTACGGATTAAAAAATCAAGAAAAAAAAATTAGTGTGAGTTGTGTGGTTTTAGGGAGAATCGCCGCACAATTTGCAATTGAAATAAATAAATATGGAAATAGTGTCGTGACTTCCTGGTGGACTTTAAAGAATAAAAAAGTGATCATTGGGTAATTATGGTGTAATTTATTATACCGGGTTTTTCAACCAGGATTGGATGAAAGGATCACGAATCGATAAATCTCTGATCCTTTTCGAAAAAAATTAAGGTTTTTCCGAATCGATTTAACCCAAAAACTCCACCACCATGTTACTTTTTGCACGGAAATCCTCGCCGACTTTCGTTTCACCTACAAACCGCCCACTTAATTCCACCTACTTTTGTCTCCTCTTATCATCCGCTTTCGTTCCGCTGCTTACCATTCTCCACACCGTTTCGTCCGCCCATTAGGCGCGATTTTCCGATAATTTCATCATGCGGTTGGCGACATTTCCCATTAGCGTCCATGCAGTTTTCTCCATTGTTGGGAATAAGAACCCATTGTGGCTGCGCTGATGCGCTCGATTAACAACACTGATAAAAACTAAGCGGTACAAGGTGCATCATGGAAAGAACACGGCTAGACGGAACAGAGCACCAAAACGTAAAAAATGAATGCAAAGCCGAGGACGCTAAAGTAGGTTAAAGGACGCTAAATGAATGAAATACACCGGGGAATATACAGATACACAGAGCGGCTCAGAAGGAGCTTGAAAAGTTCGGTCTGTAGGTTCCAAGATTTTCCATTTAGGGATTTTCTTGTGTTTGGACTAAACTGGTACATGTTTGTTTGTTTGTTTTGGCAAGACTGAAGCAGTTGGCACCACACTTCGTGTCAATCGTCTAATGTCAACTTTAAATAATCAGTAGAGAGCTGGGACTTTTGACAGTTATTTATAACCCACCTGACTCATTATTGATACATTTTTTGGCTTATAAACAACCCCAGAAAACTTTTTGGTATCTAAAATATCTCTAGAAATTTTAACCGAATTTTGAAAAATTGTCAAAATCTCCGAAAAATTTAAACCACAAAAAAAATGCTGTTGTCGTCATTATTGACAATAAGCAGTAATAATAATAAACTTAACAAATAGAAATAAAAAAAAATATAAGAAAGTTCCAAACAATCTAGTGCTTCTGATTTTAGATATAATTTTACTACCAAATTAGCAAATTTAATAAAAATCTCTTCCTCGCAATAGTAAAACAGATATTGAAAGTACGTTTGTAGTACTTGTGTTAATACACATTTAAAAGTAAAATCTACAAATTAACAGAAACATATTTCTTTATGTTGGCAGCACTGAAACAGTTGGTACCACACTTCATGTCAACCGTCAAATGTCAATTTTAAATAATTAATAGACGGATGGCACTTTTGACAGTTATTTATAACCTGTGTTTGCCCACTTGACTCATTGCTGATGCTTTTTTTGGCTTATAAACAATCTAAGAAAACTTTTTCGTATCTAAAATATCTCTAGAAATTTTAACCGAATTTTGAAAAATTGTCAAAATCTCCAGGAAATTTAAACTACAAAAAAAGTGCTGTTGTTGTCATTATTAACAATAAACAGTAATAATAATAAACTTAACAAATAGAAATAAAAAAAATATAGGAAAGTTACAAACAATTTAAGTGCTTCTGATTTTAGATATAATTTTACTACCAAATTAGCAAATTTAATAAAAAACTCTTCCTCGCAATAGTAAAACAGATATTGAAAGTACGTTTGTAGTACTTGTGTTAATACACATTTATAAGTAAAATCTACAAATTAACAGAAACAAATTTCTTTATGTTGCCAGCATTGAAACAGTTGGTACCACACTTCATGTCAAACGTCAGATGTCAATTTTAAATAATCAGTAGACGGATGGCACTTTTGACAGTTATTTATAACCTGCGTTTGCCCATTTGACTCATTGTTGATGCTTTTTTTGGCTTATGAACAATCTAAGAAAACTTTTTCATATCTAAAATATCTCTAGAAATTTTAACCGAATTTTGAAAAATTGTCAAAATCTCCGGGAAATTTAGACCACAAAAAAAATGCTGTTGTGGTCATTATTAACAATAAACAGTAGTAATAATAAACTTAACAAATAGAAATAAAAAAAATATAAGAAAGTTCCAAACAATCTAAGTGCTTCTGATTTTAGCTATAATTTTAGTACCAAATTAGCAAATTTTTATCAAAATCTCTTCCTCGCAATAGTAAAACAGATATTGAAAGTGCGTTTCTAGTACTTGGGTTAATATACATTTAAAAGTAAAATCTACAAATTAACAGGAACATATTTCTTTATGTTGGCAGCATTGAAACAGTTGGTACCACACTTCATGTCAAACGTCAAATGTCAATTTTAAATAATCAGTAGGCGGATGGCACTTTTGACAGTTATTTATAACCTGCGTTTGCCCATTTGACTCATTGTTGATGCTTTTTTGGCTTATGAACAATCTAAGAAAACTTTTTCATATCTAAAATATCTCTAGAAATTTTAACTGAATTTTGAAAAATTGTCAAAATCTCCGGGAAATTTAGACCACAAAAAAAATGCTGTTGTGGTCATTATTAACAATAAACAATAGTAATAATAAACTTAACAAATAGAAATAAAAAAAATATAAGAAAGTTCCAAACAATCTAAGTGCTTCTGATTTTAGCTACAATTTTAGTACCAAATTAGCAAATTTTTATCAAAATCTCTTCCTCGCAATAGTAAAACAGATATTGAAAGTGCGTTTCCAGTACTTGTGTTAATATACATTTAAAAGTAAAATCTACAAATTAACAGGAACATATTTCTTTATGTTGGCAGCATCTAAACAGTTGGTACCACACTTCATGTCAAATGTCAAATGTCATTTTTAAATAATCAGTAGACGGATGGCACTTTTGACAGTTATTTATAACCTGCGTTTGCCCATTTGACTCATTGTTGATGCCACGTAAGAAAACTTTTGTATCCGAAATATCTCCAAAAATTTGAACTGATTTTCAAAAATTGTCAATATTTTAAAAAACTTTAATGGACAGATTAGTTGCTATTGTTATTATAAAAAATAAATAATAATATACGTATTAAACAGAAATAAACAAGTTATTAAGAAATTCTGGTAGGATAATTGGAATATAATGTTTATTTTGCAGATTAGATTTTTTATCGTTAATTCTCCACAAATAAAAAACACTTCGCTGTTATTACCTCGTAAAATAATAGTAATTATCCTAACACTTATGGAATTTTGAGACGTAGCGTGTGTTCCAACAGTTGCCAGCGACAGTTAATGAAAATTTTTTCCCTCGATTGTTCATGAGCAGTGGCGATCCAATTTGATGGTTTAATAGACCGAGCACCCAAGTGTGAAATTTTTTGGGATTTTGAGATGGCCACGAGATATTTTGTTCCAGGGTTTTACCTAATTAAAGCGTCAGCGTCGCTGCTGCGACATGTAGCAGCCGCGTTTACAAGCGCTATAAAACTCATAATTGCCAATGAGACATAAATCCGTCGAACAAAGAACGCTAGATTATATCAACTGATCGTAAAATCAAC